CATCTGTGGATCTGTTGGGGCGATATGCAAATTGGAGTGGGTCTAGGGTATCCGGGATGATGCTGTTGATGTGAGCCATGACCAGCCTTTCAAAGCACTTCATGGTTACCGACATGAGTGTTACATGGCGGTAATCATTTAGGCATGTTATCTTTGCTTCCTTGGGCACATGGACTATGGTGGTCTGCTTGAAACATGTAGGTATTATAGACTCGGTCAGGGAGAGGTTGAAAATGTCAGTGAAGACACTTGCCAGTTGGTCCGCGCTTGCTTTGAGTACATGTCCTGGTAATCTGTCCAGCCCCACGGCTACAGAGCACGTTATCACACAGTCGTCCGGAACAGCTGGTGCTCTCATTCATGCTTCAGTGTTGCTTGCCTCGAAGCGAGTATAAAAGTCATTTAACTCGTCTGGTAGGCTCACGTCACTGGGCAGCTCGCGTCTGGGTTTCCCTTTGTAGTCCGTAATAGTTTTCAAGCCCTGCCACATCCGATGAGCATCAGAGCGGGTGTAGTAGGATTCTATCTTAATCCTGTATTGACGCTTTGCCTGTTTGATGGTTCGTCTGAGGGCGTAGCGGTATTTCTTATAAGCGTCCGGATTAGTGTCTCGCTCCTTGAAAGTGGCAGCTCTAGCCTTTAGCTTGATGCATATGTTGCCTGTAATCAATGGCTTCTCATTGGGATTTGTACGTACGGTCACTATGGAGACGACGTCGTCAATTCACTTATTGATGAAGCCGATGACTGAGGTGGTATACTCCTCAATGCCATTGGATGAGAGTCTCCCTACTCCCTAACGACCTATATCCCACAATACCTTTACTCCTCCTCTTTCTCTTCATCTTCAACATACCTTTTTTCCACTTTAATATACAGTGGGGAGAACAAGTATTTGATACACTGCCGATTTTGCAGGTTTTCCTACTTACAAAGCATGTAGAGGTCTGTAATTTTTATCATAGGTACACTTCAACTGTGAGAGACGGAATCTAAAACAAAAATCCAGAAAATCACATTGTATGATTTTTAAGTAATTAATTTGCATTTTATTGCATGACATAATTATTTGATCACCTACCAACCAGTAAGAATTCCGGCTCTCACAGACCTGTTAGTTTTTCTTTAAGAAGCCCTCATGTTCTCCACTCATTACCTGTATTAACTGTACCTGTTTGAACTCGTTACCTGTATAAAAGACACCTGTCCACACACTCAATCAAACAGACTCCAACCTCTCCACAATAACCAAGACCATAGAGATGTGTAAGGACATCAGGGATACAATTGTAGACCTGCACAAGGCTGGGATGGGCTACAGGACAATAGGCAAGCAGCTTGGTGAGAAGGCAACAACTGTTGGCGCATTTATTAGAAAATGGAAGAAGTTCAAGATGACGGTCAATCACCCTCGGTCTGGGGCTCCATGCAAGATCTCACCTCGTGGGGCATCAATGATCATGCGGAATGTGAGGGATCAGCCCAGAACTACACGGCAGGACCTGGTCAATGACCTGAAGAGAGCTGGGACCACAGTCTCAAAGAAAACCATTAGTAACACTCTACGCCGTCATGGATTAAAATCCTGCAGCGCACGCAAGGTCCCCCTGCTCAAGCCAGCGCATGTCCAGGCCCATCTGAAGTTTGCCAATGACCATCTGGATGATCCAGAGGAGGAATGGGAGAAGGTCATGTGGTCTGATGAGACAAAAATATAGCTTTTTGGTCTAAACTCCACTCGCCGTGTTTGGAGGAAGAAGAAGGATGAGTACAACCCCAAGAACACCATCCCAACCGTGAAGCATGGAGGTGGAAACATCATTCTTTGGGGATGCTTTTCTGCAAAGGGGACAGGACGACTGCACCGTATTGAGGGGAGGATGGATGGGGCCATGTATCGCGAGATCTTGGCCAACAACCTCCTTCTCTCAGTAAGAGCATTGAAGATGGGTCGTGGCTGGGTCTTCCAGCATGACAACGACCTGAAACACACAGCCAGGGCAACTAAGGAGTGGCTCCGTAAGAACCATCTCAAGGTCCTGGAGTGGCCTAGCCAGTCTCCAGACCTGAACCCAATAGACATTTTTTGGAGGGAGCTGAAAGTCCGTATTGCCCAGCGACAGCCCCGAAACCTGAAGGATCTGGAGAAGGTCTGTATGGAGGAGTGGGCCAAAATCCCTGCTGCAGTGTGTGCAAACCTGGTCAAGACCTACAGGAAACATATGATTTCTGTAATTGCAAACAAAGGTTTCTGTACTAAATATTAAGTTCTGCTTTCTGATGTATCAAATACTTATGTCATGCAATAAAATGCAAATTAATTACTTAAAAATCATACAATGTGATTTTCTGGATTTTTGTTTTAGATTCCATCTCTCACAGTTGAAGTGTACCTATGATAAAAATTTACAGACCTCTACATGCTTTGTAAGTAGGAAAACCTGCAAAATCGGCAGTGTATCAAATACTTGTTCTCCCCACTGTATATATATATATATATATATATATATATATATATATATATATATATATATATATATATATATATATATATATATAAATACAGTGGGGGAAAAAAGTATTTAGTCAGCCACCAATTGTTCAAGTTCTCCCACTTAAAAAGATGAGAGAGGCCTGTAATTTTCATCAATGAGAAAAAAAAATCCAGAAAATCACATTGAATTTATTTGCAAATTATGGTGGAAAATAAGTATTTGGTCCAGCATTTAAAAAAGACTAGACAAAGATCGAGAGAGAGGGAGGGAGGGAGGGAGGGAGGGAGGGAGGGAGGGACGAACAAATCCACCTCAGCCCAGCCAACTCTGTGAGGGGAAAGCCTGCATGGAGTTATTGATTTTCAGCTCTCTGGAGGGAGAAGAGAAGACAGACGGAAGACAGAGAAGGAGTTCTCCTGATGGGATGAAATCTGTGCGCTGCCTGGGCCTGCTGCTGCTGTGTGGAATACACCCAACACACCACTTTGGTTCCCAAATGGCACCCTTTTCCCTATATAGAGCACTACTTTTGACCAGAGCCCTAAGGACCTTGGTCAAAGGTAGTGCAAAGCACCTACTACCATACCCTGTTCAAAGGCACTTAAATCTTTTGTCTTGCACATTCACTCTCTGAAATGCACACATACACAATCCATGCGGCAATTGTCTCAAGGTTTTAAAATCCTTCTTTAACCTCTCCTCCCCTTCATCTACACTGATTGAAGTGGATTTAATGAGTGACATCAATAAGGGATTATAACTTTCACCTGGATTTATCTGGTCAGTCTATGTCGTGGAAAGAGCATGTTTTGTAGACTCAGTGTACACTGAGTGTATGTGTGCCATTCAGAGGTTGAATGGGCAAGACAAAATATTTAAGTGCCTTTGAACGGGGTATGGTAGTAGGTGCCAGGTGCATCAGTTTGCATCAAGAACTGCAACGATGCTGGGTTTTCAACAGTTTCCCGTTTGTATCAAGAATGGTCCACCACCCAAAGCACATCCAGCCAACTTGATACAACTGTTGAAAGCATTGGAGTCAACATGGTCTAGCATCCCTGTGGAACGCTTTCGACACCTTGTAGAGTCCATGCCCTGACGAATATAGGCTGTTCTGAAGGCAAAAGGAGGGTTGCAACTCAATATTAGTAAGGTGTTCTTAATGTTTTGTACACTCAGTGTATATATGGATGCTCCAAATGTAATCCTGCTTACTGTATCCATTGAATTGACCCTATGCTGTATAATGCACTGATCCTCTCTATTCACTGGGAATAAATTAGATTTGGACCAGAGCTAATGCTAGTGTGACACAGAGAGTGTGTGTAAAAGTGGGATTCTGCTCTGCGATAGGACTATAAACCTGACAGTACAGTACAGGCAAATCAATCCACATCCACAATATGCCCAAAGCAACATATATTTTTTATCTCCGTTTTACAATCAATCAACGCATGGATTTAACATTTCAACATGGGTCTGTGTTAAATCTTGTCCAGTTTATTTGGAAAAAAAGATGGATTAGGATATTTTGAGTGCGAAAAAAAGACAGACACGGTAGATAGGGAGAGAGATAGGAGTTTATTTACATGACTGTGATTATGATTTGGCTCATCTTCTCCAGGGTGTGTGTCACTAGCTGAGAGTCCGCCTGGCCACCTCAAAGCACTAAAAGGATCCCCCTCTGGCCTCTCTATTGCTAAATGGCCCAGGATGCATCACAAATAATATAATAATAATATTATGCCATTTAGCAGACGCTTTTATCCAAAGCGATTTACAGTCATGTGTGCATACATTTTTACGTATGGGTGGTCCCGGGGATCGAACCCACTACCCTGGCGTTACAAGCGCCATGCTCTACCAATTGAGCTACAGAGGTCTATGTGCTCTGGTCAAAGGTAGTGCATTATATAGAGAATAGGGTATCCTTTGGCCCAGTGAATGTGACTCACTGCCACGACCTTACAAAGGTTACCAGGTCCCGAGCCATGCGGCCATCCCATCCCAGCCGGATCAGCACGGTGTTACATGCTACATGCTATCTAGCCATTAATCTGTCCTGCCCTATTGGCTGTTGCTTTACTGACTTGGTCTCCACTGTTGTGTCCATCCAGAGACAACACTAGTCCCCTGCCAGGCTGTGGGATTAGCACGTAGGGAGGATAGCCAGGGATTTACCCTACCACTCTGCACCGATGGCCCCGCTGTTTACATGTAATGGAATTGTTTTGAGGCAGTGTAGCAGAGGCGCCAATCGGAGAGACAGGTCCTTTCTGTCTCTGGCAGTGGAGGAGAGAGCGAGACATCAGAGTGCAGTAGTCAGTCAAAGCGTGCAGAGACAGAGTGCAGACAAACAGACACAATTCTCTACTAACTCAGAGGCCTCAGCGTTGCAGTAGTCATAGCCTGCAGAGAGCAGAGACTTTAGACAGATACAGTTCTTTACCTACATGTGTTGTCCTCATCTAATTGAGCTGTCTGCTTGTCTTCTCTGGGTACCAGAACACCTACACCAACGCAGACAAGCTCCTGGAGGCGGCAGAGCAGCTGGCCCAGACTGGGGAATGTGACCCGGAGGAAATCTACAAAGCAGCCCGGCACCTGGAGGTCAGGATCCAAGACTTTGTTCGGCGGGTGGAGCAGAGGAAACTGCTGCTGGACATGTCTGTCTCCTTCCACACCCACACCAAGGAGGTAAGACCTTTGACCCCCGAACCCTAACCTACATCCACTTTCTACGTCTGGGAAATTCTGGGGTTCAGTGACCCCTTTTCCTTTTTATTTATGCATAGTATGGAATGATAGAATGGGAGTGGATGTGGTAGGATGCAGTAGCCTTGTCTGTCTGCCTTCAACACCCACACTAAAGATGGAAGAGCCCTGACCCAAAGGACCTGTAGAATGGTTTACTCTCCCTGTCTTTAAGAGCATAATGGGGTGTAGTGACCTTTTGTTTTGAAGTGGATTTGTGTCACTTTATTGAGACAGTACTGAAATCAGATGGGGAGACAGGTAAGTAAGTGGAAGAAACAAAGTAGAAGGGTGGTGACGGGGATTGAACCCCGGTCTCCGGTGGGGTGTGCAAACATGTGCATAGAGTTGGGGGTGACCCTTTTTCATGCATGAACGAAATGTTACCGTAAGTGGGAGTGGATGTGGTTGGTTTTAGGGTGCAGTAACTTGGCAAGGGGTTGAGGCTCGGGTTAATGCAGCCTCAGATGCCCGTCTGTGAGTGTCACTGATCACTACAGATAGACAGACAGACGGGGCATACATACCAGTCCTTAAGAGAGGATCACACCAAGATTACTAAGGTATGCAGTGAGTCTTTGCTCTTGTTAGCACAGCCTGATCCATGCCAGATGTGAGCCAGCCAAGGGCTAAACTGGAGACTTCAGGAAGGACAGTGTCTGAGTGTGTCCCAAATGGCACTCTATTCCCTATATAGTGCACTACAATAGCCCATATCCCTGGTCAAAAGTAGTGTACTATAAAATAAATAAGGTGCCCACCATCTCCCCTCTAAAATGGCTATACCTTGAACCTGATTTTTTGATGTTACACAAGTTCTCTCTCTCTCTCTCTCTCTCTCTCTCTCTCTCTCTCTCTCTCTCTCTCTCTCTCTCTCTCTCTCTCTCTCTCTCTCTCTCTCTCTCTCTCTCTCTCTCTCTCTCTCTCTCTCTCTCTATCTCTATCTCTATCTCTCTCGCTCTCTATTACTGAACAAGGGGGATAGATGTAGTAGATGACCCTAGACAGCATGTTCCTTCACCCTCTTATCCCAGCAGCTCTTCAGCGCTCCATAAGGCTTGCATACCAAATGTCACCCTATTCCCTTTTTAGTGCACTACTTTTGGCCCGGGCTCTGGTCAAAAGTAGTGCACTATAAAGAGAATAGTGTGCCATTTGGGATGTAGTCAAGCCCTTTGAGCACTGGGACAGGGGGAAGATTTAAAGGGCCAACTACTTATTGATGGTTTCTTCTGATCTCACTAATCCATCCTACCCACCGCTTCCTACCCAGAGCCCCTAGCCACTCCGATTCCATAGTCATTATCAATAGTCATTATCCTGCGCTGTAAGCTAGAGTGGCACGTTTCAGCTGTGGAACTCTAGTTCTGCGTGGAGGACATTTGTTTGGTTCAGCTCTCCTAGTGGAGCCATCATTCGTGAGCTACACACACACGTCATTTGTGAGCTAGTCCCGGTGATCTATGAGAGGCAGTGGGGATTTGGCTTTAGGAGTCGTCATTCGTGAGATAGTCCCAGTGATCTATGAGAGGCAGTGGGGATGTGGCTTTAGGAGTGTAGAGCAGAGGGTGACTAGGGAGAGTGATTGCTGAAGTATCTTAGCGGCTCAGTCTCACTAATTGGAAAGGAAACGCTCAGACTGAGGAAATGGCAATGATTAGAAAATGTATACAGCTGATATATTAAACTTTGCTAAATTTTTTAGGCCTAAGTCTCCACCTTGTGCTAGTTCCAACAGCCACTCCCTAATCTTTTGCAAAGCCTATTTGGTTGGAGTTATTAATGTGTTCTGAGTAAGATCAGCTTAGCTTCTGACTGGCTGGCTCCCGGCTACATGATGCAGTATGGTAGATTGCTTATGGATGATGATGGGATCCATGGGATCACTCTGGCAGTCAACAGTAGATATTTTTATTGGAGTTAAGCAAAGGGAAGTAGTAATGCCGTGGGACACCAGAACTGGATATGAAATAGCGGTCACACAGAACATGCCTGTTAACAGTGACCGACGGGGCCACTTGGCCCCAAGAAGTGGCCTCCACTTGGATAGCTCAGGTCTGCATCCCAAATAGCACCCTATTCCCTACATAATGCACTACTTTTGACCAGAGCCTCTGGTCAAAAGTAGTGCACTATGTAAGGAATATGGTGCCATTTGGGATGTAGACCATGAAACGTTGTTGGACTCTGATAAGTCTTTAAACAATATATTTGTCTTTAAGGGGCTTTGAGAGCTTGGCTTGAAGATGCAAACAAACGTATGCCAAGAATGGCCTGAGATAAGACTCCTAGGGTTTGAGTGTTATCCTGAAAGCTAAGGCCACATCCATTATTAATGTAGAGACCAAGTTTGCGTCCCAAATGGCACCCTATTCCCTATAGTGCACTACATTTGACCAGAGCCCTATGGCACTGATCAAAAGTGCACTACATAAGGAATAAGGTGACATTTGGGACGCAGTCCAAAACTCACTTAATAGGGCTGGTCAGTAGTAGTCGTCTACTAGAGGAGATGGCATTGCTTTTTAAAAGCCTAATGACACGACATGGTCAGATTGCCAAGGGCACACTAATGCCAACAAATCCCTATCAACACTGGCTCAACTGACAATTACTGACAACTTTTAACTTCATGTTACTTGGTGTTTCCTGCCAAGAGGAAGTTTTGTCGATTGTATATTCTCATCTCACATAAAACAAGACGATGCGCTCCGCCAAAGCATTTTTGATTTACGAAGGCGTAATCACTCCTTACCCCTCTGTAAAGTATGACAAGAGGCATCTTTTTCATTTTCCTAATCCGTTGTCTCCTTGGCTGCATCCGCCTTCATCTTGTGCTTATGTTTTTATCTTTATATCAATTGGCATTTAATATGCTTTCTACCAGAGCAACAGAAAGCAGCAATTAGCTTCAAGAAGGAATGCTTGTGGCTGATGTGCTGTGCAGGAAGAGGGTCATTTACATTCTGGAGAATGGTCTACATGGAGACATAGGGTGCATCCCAAATGGCAACCCATTCCGCCTTATAGTGCATTACTTTTGACCAGGGCCCATACTTTTGACCATGGGGTCTGGTCAAAAGTAGTGCACTATATAGGGAATAGGGTGCCATTTGGGACGCCATCATGCTGGTCTTCGCTAGGCTGCTGGGCGGCTGACTGAGTGCTAGGTCGAGCTGCACCATCAAACAGATGAGGAAAGCAATCAGAGCCATGATTTAGCAATCACAGAGAGGACTGTTGGGAAGCCTCTGTCTGTCAGCCACATGTTCCCTCGCTTTGGCTGCTCAGGGAAATATTATGAGATATGGTTGGGACACAAAAAGAGAACGTGAATGTTCCAAATGGCACCCTATTCCCTATATAGTGCACTACTTTTGACCAGAGCCCATAGGGGTCCAAATGGCTCATTTATGTTTCTGTTTAAGTTGCTTGATGTTGGCACACTGTATGCTCTTAGAGAATGTTATCAGTGCCTTTTGATTGCCCCCAAATTCATTTCAAGCAGGCATTTTAGTGTTCATTATTACAAATATAGTTTAAATGTACGTGCTATAGTAATTTAATAATTCATAATTCATATTTTTCGTCAAATGTAGTGTAATGTAGGTGCTATAGTCATTTACACAATTACACCTGTTGGAATGTCTTATCTCATTTCTGGGTTAAATTAGATAATGAGATATTGGCATTAAATAAATTTTACTCCTGGAACAAACACAATGAATGAAAACATTTGTAGAATAGAAGTCACATGATATTCTTAGCTCAGGAATCCTGGCTTTGTAATATTGTAATATACTATATTGGAATAGCCCAGGATTACAACTGCTGTGGCACAACCTATTTCACCCTAATCCCATGTCTGAATTCAGATTTATGGTGAAATCAGTGTGTAAGTGTGAAGTGTGTGTTTGTATAGTATATTCTATTACAGTATTCCAAACCCGGGATTATAACTGATGTGTCATAATCTATTTTATCCTAATTCAGGTTTATGGTGAAATCTGTGTGTAAGTGTGTGGTAGCTGTTTGTGTGTGTCATGCCCAGTGCAGCACAGCACAGCCAGGATCCTTCAGCTACAGCAGGAGTCACACATAGAAGCACGTTCAATTCTGAGCGTGCTCAGATCAGTCATGGGGGAGCAGTTACCATGGGAACCACAGAGACGGCAACCTCTGCTCTATGAATTTTGTTAACCCTTTGAAACACAGAGAGAATTCCCTCTGTATCTGTTTGATATGATAGGTTCTTGTGAAAATGATTTGGGTTTTGTCCCAAATGGCACCCTATTCCCTATATAGTGCACTACTTTTGGCCAGAGCCCTATACGGGAATAGGGTGCCATTTGGGACGCATTCAGTATGTCATTGGAGAGAGATGACATTCTTAAAATCTTGGAAGGTGTTTTTGTGGTTCCTGGAATACAATTTGTCTGTTAGTGTTTTGTTTTTTTGTTATAACTTATCTTATCATTGTTTTTATAAGATAAGTTTAATTGTATCTGATTCAATTCTTTAAACATCACTTGAAGTGCTCTTGTTGTAGTGCTCTCCATCTTCCAATTATCTTATTATCTATTGATGAACATTTAGCAAGCAGTAAATCCAAGCATTGTTTTATGGCTGGCTGCACTACGGGTGAAGTGGTGTTATTTTCATGGCTAAAATAATTAAACTCTCCATACGAGATAAACTAATATGAAATAAACTAATTTCAATCATACGCATGCATGCACGCGCGCACACACACACACACACACACACACATACACACACACACAGACTTCTCTGAGAGTGTGAAAAGGGCAGAGCAGCATCACGATTACCATAATGTCCTAAGAATATGTGTTTGAGGAACAGCAGGCCTAACAAACCATAGCAATGTCCAGAAATGGTTTATGTAAATGAAGAACATCAACGAAGCATCTCAGTAGAGCTCCATCTAACTATTAACTGTGAGAAAGGGTTGTGTCCCAAATGGCACCCTATTCCCTATATAGTACACTACTTTTGACCAGAACCTTAAGGGCCCCGGTCAAAAGTAGTGCACTATGTAGAGAATAGGGTGCCATTTGGGACGTAGCCAAAGTCTTGCCAAGCTAGCATGTAGACGGATGCTGAAAAGATGACAAAGTGGATGCTGAACTTTGCGATTCATTTCCCCCTTAACACAATCAAACATCTCCTGCCAATTTACTCAGATTATGCTTCAGGTGTTGTGTGTAATTGTATTTCAAGCTTCTGTTCCCTCACTGAAATATTAAAGTGCCGGTTAATCTTTCTCTATGAAAAATGAAAAATCACATAGCTTGAAGAATGGAAGTCTATTTTAGGTGCGTTTGGGGAGCAGTTTACTAATTGTGGAGATGGAAATGAGAATGGATTTTCTTCCCCGCTGTCAAACAATTAGTCTAAAGAGAAAGATATGCTGCGTATGTATTGTGCATATGAAGCAAAAAACAGAAGTTATTGTCTATTTTGACTAAGCAATTGCATTACTTTGACATAGTGGTTCAGTTGTCCTCAAAATTGCACGCTGTATCTGTTGACAGGCTGTCCCACAAGGCGTGGGTATATTGTGTACTGTAGTGTTAAATCTCTCTCTCTCTCTCTCTCTCTCTCTCTCTCTCTCTCTCTCTCTCTCTCTCTCTCTCTCTCTCTCTCTCTGTCTCTCTGTCTCTCTCGCTCTCTCGTTCTCTCTCCCTCCAACTCACCTCCCTGCCTCTCTCTCCCCTCTCTCTCCCCCCTCTTCCTCCAACCCTCCTCCCTCCCCTCTCTCCAACCTTTCTCCCTCCCCCTCTCTCTCTCCTCCCTCTCTCCCTCCCTCCCCCCAGTTGTGGACATGGATGGAGGATCTCCAGAAGGAGCTGTTGGAGGAGGTGTGTTCAGACTCGGTGGAGTCAGTCCAGGAGCTCATCAAGCAGTTCCAGCAGCAGCAGACAGCCACGCTGGAGGCTACGCTCAACGTCATCAAGGAGGGAGAAGACCTCATCCAGCAGCTCAGGTCAGTGCTGATCTTGGGTCAGTTTTGCCTTTTCCCCACTAATAGTTAAGGTTTGGATTGGGGAAGGGAAAGCTGATCCTAGAAACTTCACCCCGGAGTGTGCTATATCCCAGCAGGGGGCAGTGGGGAAAATACAGGGTGATCTAGAATCAGTTTATCCTTTTTAGATCATAATGTGTAAGACAGGGTTGGGCTCAATTCAGAATTTAACTCATAAATTGAAATTCAAATTGAATCGGCTACACCCCACAGGAAGTATAATTTTTATTTGAGTTTGACTGACAGGAAATAGGATTGAATTCAGTGCAATTCAAAGAAATTCCACTCAGTCATATAACATGAGAGCTTCATTGAATCTGACAGGTCACACTTCCAGATAAAAAAATTACAAAGAATACTCTCTGGAAACAATGTCCATATACTATTTTAACCTTATTGCTTAGCCAATTATATTTCCACAAACCATTTCATTTGTTTGGCTTCTTTTTGAAGGCCTCAGGGTCAACTTGGTGGTTAAACTAATGCATTCTGGGAAATTTAATATTTATTTAACAAAATGTAAGTGATTAATGAAATATAATAACTTAGAATATTCGCATACAGGTTTTGTTTTCCTTGATCATTCATTTTAAGTTTGTCCTGAAAATCAATTGTTAAAAAAATATTTTATATGCATGAATATAACGACGTTTGATGTTTTATGTACAAGATGTACTGTATATTTGTAAGACTACACCTAATATAGCATAGAAGAGGCATTTGAATTTCATTGAATTTCGCTGAATTTGATTATATTTCCTTTCATTCAAATTCGAATTGCAATTCTGTATCTGGTCTAATGCTGCAATTCAAATTCGATTCAAATTCAAGAATTGAATTGGAATTTATGAGGCATTCTCAATTCAGTTCTGAATTGAGCCCATCTCTGGTGTAAGAGTACACGGACAGGGGGAACCTGATCCTAGATTACCACTCCTACTCTGAGACATTATGAATATGGGCCCAGATCTAGGAACAGTTTTGCCTTTCAGATCGTAATGAATAAGATTACACGGACAGGGGCTCCCTGATCCTAGATCAGCACTCGATTTATGAAATAATGTACTTAACTGTACTGTATTGTCAAGAGTGATGGAAATATAATACAATTTCACTGCAGTCATCAAAACGCACTCACTTGTTTTATGGGCCTCGGGTCATTGTGTATGAGAGAGGGCCAAGTGGGTCAGACCATATACAGTGCCTTGCAAAATTATTCATCCCCCTTGGTGTGTTTCCTATTTTGTTGCATTACAACCTGTAATTTAAATGGATTTTTATTTTTATTTCATGAAATGGACATACACAAAATAGTCCAAATTGTCCAATATATATACAGCTGTTCTGAAAGGCCCCAGAGTCTGCAACACCACTAAGCAAGGGGCACCACCAAGCAAGCGGCACCATGAAGACCAAGGAGCTCTCCAAACAGGTCAGGGATAAAGTTGTGGAGAAGTACAGATCAGGGTTGGGTTATAAAAAAAAATATCTGAAACTTTGAACATCCCACGGAGCACCATTAAATCCATTATTACAAAATTGAAAGAATATGGCACCACAACAAACCTGCCAAGAGAGGGCCGCCCACCAAAACTCACCGAACAGGCAAGGAGGGCATTAATCAGAGAGGCAACAAAGAGACCAAAGATAACCCTGAAGGAGCTGCAAAGCTCCACAGCAGAGATTGGAGTATCTGTCCATAGGACCACTTTAAGCCATACACTCCACAGAGCGGGGCTTTACGGAAGAGTGGCCAGATAAAAGCCATTGCTTAAAGAAAAAAGTAAGTAAACATGTTTGGTGTTCACCAAAAGGCATGTGGGAGATTCCCCAAACATATGGAAGAAGGTACTCTGGTCAGATGAGACTAAAATTGAGCTTTTTGCCCATCAAGGAAAACGCTATGTCTGGTGCAAACCCAATACCTCTTATCACCCCGAGAACACCATCCAAGTAGGGTGGTGAAGCATCATGCTGTGGGGATGTGTTTCATCGGCAGGGACTGGGAAACTGGTCAGAATTGAATTATGGATGGCGCTAAATACAGGGAAATTCTTGAGGGAAACCTGTTTCAGTCTTCCAGAGATTTGAGACTGGGATGGAGGTTCACCTTCCAGCAGGACATTGACAGTAAGCATACTGCTAAAGCAACACTCGAGTGGTTTAAGGGGAAACATTTAAATGTCTTTGAATGGCCTAGTCAAAGCCCAGACCTCAATCCAATTGAGAATCTGTGGTGTGACTTAAAGATTGCTGTATACCAGCGGAACCCATCCAACTTGAAGGAGCTGGAGCAGTTTTGCCTTGAAGAATGGGCAAAAATCCCAGTGGCTAGATGTGCCAAGCTTATAGAGACATACCCCAAGAGACTTGCAGCTGTAATTGCTGCAAAAGGTGGCTCTACAAAGTATTGACTTTGGGGGGGGGTGAATAGTTATGCACGCTCAAGTTTTCAGTTTTTTTGTTTTATTTGTTGTTCTTTCACAATAAAAAATATTTTGCATCTTCAAAGTGGTAGGCATGTTGTGTAAATCAAATGATACAAACCCCCCAAAAATCCATTTTAATTCCAGGTTGTAAGGCAACAAAATAGGAAAAATGCCAAGGGTGGTGAATACTTTCGCAAGCCACTGTAGTTCAATACTACATGGTGATAGGTGTTGTATTGCTGCTAATCCACTCCGGGGCAGATGTGTTAAAGTGCCTTTGCAGTGAGGGCAATTGGGTTATTCCTTAGAGGGGCTCCGTTTCTGACATATTTTACACCCTCCCTTATTGAACACTAACACCATGACAAGAACACTCCATTGCTCCTATTTTGCTCATGATATTTGTGCGGCATCCCAAATGGAACCCTATTCCCTAAATAGTGCACTACTTTTGAACAGACTCCTAGTGCTGCATTTCCATGGAGACTTACCCCGACACCAGTGTGTCGCCAGTGTTTTATGTTAATGTGACTCTAGTGTAATTGTGTTTCCAATCAGAGTGTGACACTAAGAACTTGGGGAGAGCAGAATCAACAACCTCTGCATCATTAAGACAGTGCTTTGTGAGAAGGTGTTAAAGTTCACAGTTGGCCATTGTTATGTAAATTACATCAGAAAAGTACCAATGGCCTGGCTTTGGCTGCAAGTTAGAGCAGGTCTGCCGGTGCCATGGCCCAGTGAGAAACGGGTGCCGGCCCGCGTAGATGGAAACAGAAAAGTCTTAGCCTTTTGGGTAAAACACAGGGGTCAATAGTGTATGTAAATGTGCCACTGGGAGCCCTGGTCAAAAGGTAGTGCGCAATAAAGGGAATAGGGTGCCATTTGAGTCGCGGCCTTAGTACTACCCATCCCACAGCTCAGGGTTGCTCTCTCTGCCTCTCTCTCTCTCTCTCTCTCTCTCTCTCTCTCTCTCTCTCTCTCTCTCTCTCTCTCTCTCTCTCTCTCTCTCTCTCTTTCTATCTCTCTCTCAATTCAATTTCAATTTCAATTTAAGGGCTTTATTGGCATGGGAAACGTGTGTTAACATTGCCAAAGCAAGTGAAGTAGATAGTAAACAAAAGTGAAATAAACAATAAATATTAACAGTAAACATTACACTCAGAAGTTTCAAAAGAATAAAGACATTTCAAATGTCATATTATGTATATATACAGTGTTGTAACAATGTGCAAATAGTTAAAGTACAAATGGGAATATAAATAAACATAAATATGGGTTGTATTTACAATGGTGTTTGTTCTTCACTGGTTGCCCTTTTCTTGTGGCAACAGGTCACAAATCTTGCAGCTGTGATGGCACACTGTGGTTTTTCACCCAGTAGGTAAGGGAGTTTATGAAAATTGGGTTTGTTTTCGAATTCTTTGTGGATCGCTGTAATCTGAGGGAAATATGTGTCTAATATGGCCATACATTTGGCAGGAGGTTAGGAAGTGCAGCTCAGTTTCCACCTCATGTTGTGGGCAGTGTGCACATAGCCTGTCTTCTCTTGAGAGCCAGGTCTGCCTACGGCGGCCTTTCTCAATAGCAAGGCTATGCTCACTGAGTCTGTACATAGTCAAAGCTTTCCTTAAGTTTGGGTCAGGTATTCTGCCACTGTGTACTCTCTGTTTAGGGCCAAATAGCATTCTAGTTTGCTCTGTTTTTTTGTTTGTTCTTTCCAATGTGTCAAGTAATTATCTTTTTGTTTTCTCATGATTTGGTTGGGTCTAATTGTGTTGTTGTTGTTGTTGTTGTCCTGGGGCTGTGTGGGGTCTGTTTGTGTTTGTGAACAGAGCCCCAGGACAAGCTTACTTAGGGGACTCTTCTCCAAGTTCATCTCTCTGTAGGTGATGGCTTTGTTATGGAAGGTTTGGGAATCGCTTCCTTTTAAGTGGTTATAGAATTTAATGGCTCTTTTCTGGATTTTGATAATTAGCGGGTATTGGCCTAATTCTGCTCTGCATGCATTATTTGGTGTTTTACGTTGTACACAGAGGATGTTTTTGCAGAATTCTGCATGCAGAGTCTCAATTTGGTGTTTGTCCCATTTTGTGAATTCTTGGTTGGTGAGCGGACCCCAGACCTCAGAACCATAAAGGGCAATGGGTTCTATAACTGATTCAAGTATTTTTAGCCAGATCCTAATTGGTATTTCAAATGTTATGTTCCTTTTGATGACATAGAAGGCCCTTCTTGCCTTGTCTCTCAGATCGTTCACAGCTTTGTGGAAGTTACCTGTGGCGCTGATGTTTAGGCCGAGGTATGTATAGTTTTTTGTGTGCTCTAGGGCAACGGTGTCTAGATGGAATTTGTATTTGTGGTCCTGGCAACTGGACCTTTTTTGGAACACCATTATGTTTGTCTTACTGAGATTTACTGTCAGGGCCCAGGTCTGACAGAATCTGTGCAGAAGATCTAGGTGCTGCTGTAGGCCCTCCTTGGTTGGTGACAGAAGCACCAGATCATCAGCAAACAGAAGACATTTGACTTCAGATTCTAGTAGGGTGAGGCCGGGTGCTGCAGACTGTTCTAGTGCCCTCGCCAATTTGTTGATATATATGTTGAAGAGGGTGGGGCTTAAACTGCATCCCTGTCTCACCCCACGGCCATGTGGAAAGAAATGTGTGTGTTTTATGCCAATTTTAACCGCACACTTGTTGTTTGTGTACATGGATTTTATAATGTCGTATGTTTTTCCCCCAACCCCACTTTCCATCAATTTGTATAGCAGACCCTCATGCCAAATTGAGTCAAAAGCTTTTTTGAAATCAACAAAGCATGAGAAGACTTTGCCTTTGTTTTGGTTTGTTTGTTTGTCAATTAGGGTGTGCAGGGTGAATACGTGGTCTGTCGTACGGTAATTTGGTAAAAAGCCAATTTGACATTTGCTCAGTACATTGTTTTCACTGAGAAAATGAACTAGTCTGCTGTTAATGATAATGCAGAGGATTTTCCCAAGGTTGCTGTTGACGCATATCCCACGGTAGTTATTGGGGTCAAATTTGTCTCCACTTTTGTGGATTGGGGTGATCAGTCCTTGGTTCCAAATATTGGGGAAGATGCCAGAGCTAAGGATGATGTTAAAGAAATTTGTGGTCTGTATATTTTATCATTTCATTGAGGATACCATCAACACCACAGGACTATTTGGGTTGGAGGGTTTGTATTTTGTCCTGTAGTTCATTCAATGTAATTGGAGAATCCAGTGGGTTCTGGTAGTCTTTAATAGTTGATTCTAAGATTTGCATTTGATCATGTATATTTTTTTTGCTGTTTGTTCTCTGTTATAGGGCCAAAAAGATTGGAGAAGTGGTTTACCCATACATCTCCGTTTTGGATAGATAGCTCTTCGTGTTGTTGTTTGTTTAGTGTTTTCCAATTTTCCCAGAAGTGGTTAGAGTCTATGGATTCTTCAATTACATTGAGCTGATTTCTGACATGCTGTTCCTTCTTTTTCCGTAGTGTATTTCTGTATTGTTTTAGTGATTCACCATAGTGAAGGCGTAGTGTCACGCTCGTCGAACAGAGATGAGGACCAAGGCACAGCGTTGCAGGCAAACATACTCTTTAATTAGAGACACGATCAAAAACAACAAACGATACGTGACAGTTCACGGTCTAACATAAACAGACTAGAAACAAGATCCCACAAACTCTGTGGGGAAACAGGCTGCTAAAGTATGGTTCTCAATCAGAGTCAACAAGCAACAGCTGAATCACGTTGCCTCTGATTGAGAACCACACTGGCCAACATAGAACCACAATGCCAGAATGTGAAACCTAGAACAACACACATAAACTTTACACACCCTGGCTCAACATATTAGAGTCCCCAGAGCCAGGGCGTGACAGTACCCCCCCCTAAAGGCGCGGACTCCGACCGCGCCCACCAAACACCACAGGGGAGGGACCTGGTGGGCACTCCGCTTAGGCGGCGGATCCTGCTCCGGGCCTGATCCCCGCTCTCTCTCCAACCCCCCAAAGTACCCCTGGTCCGGTCTGGCCCCGCTGGCCGGAGCTGGACTGCACACTGGTGGAGCGGATTGCTCTAGCTCCGGCGTGAAGCATCTGACCGGTGCCGGACCAGCCACCGGTGGAACAGGCACGGGCCGTGCCGGACTGACGACGCACACCACTGGCTTGGTGTGGGGAGCAGGAGCGGGCCGAGCCGGGCTGACGAAGCGCACCACTGACTTGGTGCGGGGAGCAGGAGCGGGCCGAGCCGGGCTGACGAAGCGCACCACTGACTTGGTGCGGGGAGCAGGAACGGGCCGTGCCGGGCTGACGAAGCGCACCACTGACTTGGTGCGGGGAGCAGGAACGGGCCGAGCCGGGCTGACGAAGCGCACCACTGACTTGGTGCGGGGAGCAGGAGCGGGCCGAGCCGGGCTGACGAAGCGCACCACTGACTTGGTGCGGGGAGCAGGAACGGGCCGTGCCGGGCTGACGAAGCGCACCACTGACTTGGTGCGGGGAGCAGGAGCGGGCCGAGCCGGGCTGACGAAGCGCACCACTGACTTGGTGCGGGGAGCAGGAACGGGCCGTGCCGGGCTGACGAAGCGCACCACTGACTTGGTGCGGGGAGCAGGAACGGGCCGAGCCGGGCTGACGAAGCGCACCACTGACTTGGTGCGGGGAGCAGGAGCGGGCCGAGCCGGGCTGACGAAGCGCACCACTGACTTGGTGCGGGGAGCAGGAACGGGCCGTGCCGGGCTGACGAAGCGCACCACTGACTTGGTGCGGGGAGCAGGAACGGGCCGAGCTGGGCTGGCGATGCGCACCACAGACTTGGTGCGGGGAGCAGGAACAGGCCGGGCCGAGCTGGCGATGCGCACCGTAGACTTGGTGCGAGTGGCAGGAACAGGCCGGACCGTACTGGGAACACACACCACTGGCCCTACGTGGGGATCAGGAACAGGCCGGACCGGACTGGCAACACACGCCAGTACCTCTCGCCGTGCCTCTACATCCTCCTTCCCCCTGGTGACCAGTGACTCCCGTAACCTGGCGGCCTCCTGCTGCCCCGTCGTCCACGGCGTTAGCCCCCCCCTAAAAAATGTATGGGCTTCACTCCTACCCGTGGACCAGGTCTCCATGCTCCTCGCCAGCCTTTCGCCCTTCTGCCTCCACGTCAAGCCCCTCTCTTCCTCACATGGCTTGACCCAGTCGAGGAGGCGAAGGAGATCCGCTAGAGATCTCTCAGGCGCTGGCTCCTGGACTTGCTGCTTGGTCCAGTCTTGGTGGGATCTTCTGTCACGCTCGTCGAACAGAGATGAGGACCAAGGCGCAGCGTTGCAGGCAAACATACTCTTTAATTAGAGACACGATCAAAAACAACAAACGATACGTGACAGTTCACGGTCTAACATAAACAGACTAGAAACAAGATCCCACAAACTCTGTGGGGAAACAGGCTGCTAAAGTATGGTTCTCAATCAGAGTCAACAAGCAACAGCTGAATCACGTTGCCTCTGATTGAGAACCACACTGGCCAACATAGAACCACAATACCAGAATGTGAAACCTAGAACAACACACATAAACTTTACACACCCTGGCTCAACATATTAGAGTCCCCAGAGCCAGGGCGTGACACGTAGGCTCAGGTTTTCTGGGTCTCTATGTTTTTGGTTGGATAGGTTTCTCAATTTCTTTCTTAGGTTTTTGCATTCTTCATCAAACCATTTATCACTGTTATTACTTTTCTTTGGTTTTCTGTTAGAGATTTTTAGATTTGATAGGGAAGCTGAGAGGTCAAATATACTGTTTAGGTTTTCTACTGCAAAGTTTACACCTTCACTATTACAGTGGAACGTTTTGTCCAGGAAGTTGTCTAGAATGGATTGAATTTGTTGTTTCCTAATTGTTTTTTGGTAGGTTTCAACACTACTTTCCTTCCATCTATAGCATTTCTTAATATTATTCAGTTCCTTTGGCTTTGATGCCTCATGATTGAGTATTGCTCTGTTCAAGTAGACTGTGATTTTGCTGTGGTCTGATAGGGGTGTCAGTGGGCTGACTGTGACTCACAGTTGACTCTCTCTCTCTCTCTCTCTCTCTCTCTCTCTCTCTCTCTCTCTCTCTCTCTCTCTCTCTCTCTCTCTCAATTCAATGTACTTTATTGACATGAAAAGTTAGCAACTTACATTGCTTAACCTCCCGAGTGGCGCAGTGGTCTAAGGCACTGCATTGCAGTGCTAGCTGTGCCACTAGAGGCTCTGTCGTAGCCGGCCGCGACCGGGAGACCCATGGGACGGCGCACAATTGGCCCAGCGTCGTGCAGGGTAGGAGAGGGAATTGCTGGCAGGGATGTAGCTCAATTGGTAGAGCATGGTGTTTGCAATGCCAGGGTTGTGGGTTCGATTCCCACGGGGGGCCAGCATGAAAAAAAATTAAAATAATGTATGCACTCACTAACTGTAAGTTGCTCTGGATAAGAGCGTCTGCTAAATGACTAAAATGTAAATTGTCAACGCAAACACAAGCAACAACCAAAATATAATAACAATCCCTCCCGCTCTCTCTCCCCCTCCAGGGATGCTGCCATGTCCACCAACAAGATGCCCCACAACAGCTCCATCGCCCACATTGAGAGTGTCCTGCAGCAGCTGGATGAGGCCCAGGGCCAGATGGAGGAGCTGTTCCATGAGAGGAAGATCAAGCTGGACATCTTCCTGCAGCTACGCATTTTTGAGCAGTACACCATCGAGGTGAGAAACACCAGAGGCTGGGGGGGATTTGATGGGGGAGGCACCTCAAGGGAAAGTAGGGGGAGAGGGGAGACGGTTTGTGTGCGAGTGGGGGTGGGTGGGTGGGTAGGTGTGTGTATGCCAGTGGCGGTGCCGTTTAAGATCAGGGGAAAAAATAAATAATATGGGCCTTATTTTTATTACAAATTTTCCCTATACCAATCATGAGGTTGCTACAACCTAGCCTACAAATTAAAGTTTACAACATAGTTGCACAGGTCAAGAGAAAAATGTGAGTAATCAAGGTGACAGACAGTGACACATTCAATACCGCCTTGCACACTCTTGCCTGCATCTAGCTGATCTGGGTGTAATCATTAGTCCAAACAGTTGCAAACAAGAGTTTCTAAATTCAGGTATGTTTATCCCAGTTTTGTTCCGTTTGCTTCCATTTAAGAATCGGCGGAATGATCACCTGCAAACACAGTTGACTTTCATAGCAGCCACATACAAACAGCATGATCACTTTGCTCGTTGTACAGTTGAAGTCGGAAGTTTACATACACCTTAGCCAAATACATTTAAACTCAGTTTTTCACAATTCCTGACATTTAATCCTAGTAAAAATTCCCTGTCTTAGGTCGGTTAGCCTTCCACAAGCTTCCCACAATAAGTTGGGTGAACTTTGGCCCATTCCTCCTGACAGAGCTGGTGTAACTGAGTCAGGTTTGTAGGCCTCCTTGCTCGCACGCAGTTCTGCCCACACATTTTCTATAGGATTGAGGTCAGGGCTTTGTGATGGCCACTCCAATACCTTAACTTTGTTGTCCTTAAGCCATTTTGCCACAACTTTGGAAGTATGCTTGGGGTCATTTTGTACCCAATTTGTAAGTCGCTCTGGATAAGAGTGTCTGCTAAATTATGTAAATGTAAATGTCATTGTCCATTTCCTGACTGATGTCTTGAGATGTTGCTTCAATATATCCACATAATTTTCCTTCCTCATGATGCCATCTATTTTGTGAAGTGCACCAGTCCCTCCTGCAGCAAAGCACCCCCACAGCATGATGCTGACACCCCCGTGCTTCACGGTTGGGATGGTGTTCTTCGGCTTACAAACCGCCCCCTTTTCCTCCAAACATAACGATGGTCATTATGGCCAAACAGTTATATTTTGGTTTCATCAGACCAGAGGACATTTCTCCAAAAAGTACAATCTTTGTCCCCATGTGCAGTTGCAAACCGTAGTCTGGCTTTTTTATGTCGGTTTTGGAGCAGTGGGTTCTTCCTTGCTGAGCGGCCTTTCAGGTTATGTCGATATAGGACTCGTTTTACTGTGGATATAGATACTTTTGTACCTGTTTCCTCCAGCATCTTCACAAGGTCCTTTGCTGTTGTCCTTTGCTGTTGTTCTGGGATTGATTTGCACTTTTCGCACCAAAGTACGTTCATCTCTAGGAGACAGAACACGTCTCCTTCCTGAGCGGTATGACGGCTGCGTGGTCCCATGGTGTTTATACTTGCGTACTATTGTTTGTACAGATGAACATGGTACCTTCAGGCGTTTGGAAATTGCTCCCAAGGATGAACCAGACTTGTGGAGGTGTACATTTTTTTTCTTCTGAGGTCTTTGTTTTGTATTTAATTTCATTGTATGGGGCGGCAGGTAGCTTAGTGGTTAAGAGCGTTGTGCCAGTAACCGAAAGGTCGCTGGTTCTAATCCCTGAGCCGACTAGGTGAAAAATCTGTCGATGTGCCCTTGAGCAAGGCACTTAACCCTAATTGCTCCTGTAAGTCGCTCTGGATAAGAGCGTCTGCTAAATGACTAAAATGTAAAATGTAATGTAAATGTCTTGGCTGATTTCTTTTGATTTTCCCATGATGTCAAGCAAAGAGGCACTGAGTTTGAAGGTAGGCCTTGAAATACATCCACAGGTACACCTCCAATTGACTCAAATGATGTCAATTAGCCTATCAGAAGCTTCTAAAGCCATGACATCATTTTCTGTAATTTTCCAAGCTGTTTAAAGGCACAGTCAACTTAGTGTATGTAACTTCTGACCCACTGGAATTGTGATACAGTGAATTCTAAGTGAAATAATCTGTCTGTAAACAATTGTTGGAAAAATTACTTGTGTCATGCACAAAGTAGATGTCCTAACCGACTTGCCAAAACTATAGTTTGTTAACAAGAAATTTGTGGAGTGGTTGAAAAACGAGTTTTAATGACTCCAACCTTAGTGTATGTAAACTTCTGACTTCAACTGTATAATTCTCGCATCTACACGCTCTCCTCCTCTCACCTTTTCCCTTCACTTGTGGACTTCATTGCACAACACTACAGGCGAAAAAACCTTATGCTTTCAGTACTAGATTCATTCTCTGATCCTTTGATTGGGTGGAGTACATGTCAGTTCATGCTGCAAGAGCTCTGATAGGTTGGAGGACATCCTACTGTGTGAGTCTATGGATGGGGGTGAGAATCATGAGCCTCCTAGGTTTTGTGTTGAAGTCAATGTACCCAGAGGAGGACGGAAACTAGCTGTCCTCCGGCCACACCATGGTGCTACCCCAGAGAGTGCTGTTGAGGCTACTGTAGACCTTCATTGCAAAACAGTGTGTGTTAATCAATAATTTGGTGACATGAATATATTTAGTATAGTTTTATCTAAAAATTATAACTTTTTAAATGTTTAAATATTTTTATTTTTATGAAATTCACTGAGGAGGATGGTCCTCCCCTTCGTCCTCTGAGGAGCCTCCACTGGTGTGTACGTGCGCGTGTGTGTACGTGCATACATAAGTGTGTGTGTGCGTTTGCATGCGTGGGTGTGTGTGTATGCGCACGAGCATGTGTCTGTGTGTGTGTGTGTGTGTGTGAGGGGTCATCTGCTGGCCACACAGTAATCTAATGATCCTAGCGTAAGGCTTGTAGAAACCTAATGTCAGTTGACTTTGATAGATAACTGCGTATGTAGTCCCTGATGAGTACAAGGCCTCCAGTATGTCCTAGGCCTTAGTATGTCCTAGGCCGAGACGTGCCGTGAATTACCAATTGGTGTAGCTTTCTCGGAACTAGGCTGTTAGGCTCTTACAGTTGTCAGAAAAACATAGCATGATGCCACAGTGAAAAAAAGAAAGACTACAGTAGTAATTCACTTCGGGGGGGGGGGGGGATTCTTACCTAATGGTGTCATTAAGAACAATACAACTGGGAGAGCTATATAGCTACTATCCATATAATGTACATTATTCCAGTGGAATAGCTTTCTTTGGAATAGCTTAATCTTTCACAGTATCATCTGAGCTGCACATAATGACTTAGTTACATAACACTCGGTCTCAGTGTGAGCACCTTGGCCCAGGTGTGCCATCTCATCCAGGTGTAACACTAACATCATTAACCTCTGACCTTGCCTTGTGACCTCCCTGCAGGTGACGGCGGAGCTGGACGCGTGGAACGAAGACCTGCTGCGCCAGGTGAACGACTTCAATTCGGAGGACCTGACCCTGGCCGAGCAGCGGCTGCAGCGCCACACGGAGCGCAAGCTGGCCATGAACAACATGACCTTTGAGGTGATGCAGCAGGGACAAGACCTGCACCAGTACATCATGGAGGTCCAGGCCTCAGGTGAGATATACTGAGACTGGACTGGAGCCGGTCACAGGGGAGAGAGGGAGAGAGGGAGGGAAGGCGGGAGGGAGGGGAGAGAGAATACATCATTTAGGTCAAATCAAATGTTATTCATCACATGCTTTGTAAACAACAGGTGTGGACTAACAGTGAAATGCTTACGGGCCCTTCTCAACAATGCAGAGAGAAAGAAAATAGAGAAATAATACAAAAATAAAACACGTAAAAATAAAAGTAATAATAGATACTTCAATGAGTAACGATGTATACAAGGGGTACCAGTACTGAGTCGATGTGCAGGGGTATGAGGTAATTGAGGTAGATATGTACATATAGGTAGGGGTAAAGTGACAGATAGTAATCAGTAGCAACAGCGTATGTGATGAGTCAAAAAAGTTAGTGCAAAAAGGGTCAATGGAGATAGTCTGGGTAGCTATTTGGTTAACTATTGAACTAACTATTTAGGAGTCTAATGGCTTGTGGGTAGAAACTGTTCAGGGTCCTGTTGGTTCTTGGTGCATCGGTAACGCTTGCTGGACATAATTTTTTTTAGCCTTTCTTAAAGCAATAGGCTATTCGAAGAGGGATGCGAAGTCTTGTTTGCTGAATGTTAAATACAGCAGCCAATAGAACTCACGTGTAGTTTGAAAGAAGAGCGAACGAGCCATGGTGGTAGGCTATAGCAGTTATTTATTAAGATCCATAACCATTCAATCTTCCTGGAGAGAAGTGAAAGCTTTCTGCATCTAATTTTAGTCCTAAATTATTCAAGGATTTCATTAGAATTATGAAGATATGGACAACAAAACGTATTTCATTTAACTATTGAAAGCAAGGAAGGAAGGAAGCAACAATAGAGAGAGAAAGAGGAGGTAGGCTAATAACATTACGGGAATATGCGTAAATATGCGTATATATGCGTCAGCCTACATAAGGTATATATGTCAGCCTACTAATTATACAAATAAGCCCTATTAAATGTCTAAATTAAAATCAAATTCGCTAGCCTATACTTGTAACTTTGTAGGCTGCATGTGCTGCACCAGAATCACATGTTCTCTCCCTGCTTTATCATGGTTTGAACGATGTGTGTAATTCCAGTCCATATAATACAGTATAATACAATACAGTAGAGTAATACTGTTCACACTCAAAAAGATTAGCCTACTGGAGCTAGTTTCATTTATTTACCCAAGAGAGCTTATAGCTAGATACATCTATGGGCTTTTATGTTTTTCTGCAGTAGCCTATATCATATATGTATTGGATAACGGCACAATCATTTGGGCTTTTTTGGGCTTGGGCTCATTAAATGTCTTTAATGTAGGGCTCATAATTATTTTTAAATGTATGGTTCATCAGGCTCAGGTAGCCTCAGGCTGGAATTTTCGATCAAAGCGCTAATCAAATCCAGACATAGGCCTATTTACAGTATATACTTTATAATGCTTTTGAATGACACTACGGGTTTTGGCAGGAAATACCGGGTTACCCGGGAGAAAAGTGATTTATTCTCGGGATGGAACATTTAAAAAATACCTGGAAAATATTCAACCGTGCAGTAGCAGAGAGAACAGTCTATGACTGTTTATGGGTGGCTGGAGTCTTTGGCCATTTTTAGGGCCTTCCTTTTTTTTTTTTAGGTCCAGGCATTTCTCCTTTAACTGTATTTTGTATTTTTGTATTTTCTATTTTTTACTGCATATACAAACTTATACATACGTACAAGAACACAAGCAATGACTACATCTCATCTGCCCAGACCCGCATGCTCACACCCCCATCCCTAGTGCCTGCATGATCAATTTGTTTTTCTCGGTCGCCCATGCTATTTCAATATTTCAGTAATAAATCATTAGATCTTTCCATTGTGTTGATGGTGGGTTGATTGATTCCCAAGTTCCAATCCTCTTACCCTCCTCACTGTGCTGCATGGGGCTTAATATGAGGCCTGAGCTGCATCCCAAATTGTACCCTATTTCCTATATAATACACTACTTTTGACCAGAGCCCTATGAGCCCTGGTCAAAAGTAGTCCACTATATATGGAATGGGGTGCCATTTGGGACACACACACACACACACACACACACACACACACACACACACCACCTCCCCGTAGCCCCCCTCACACACACCAGAGGGGTGAGGAAGGGGAAGGACGGGGGTGGAGCTGAAATCTGGGCCACCCTCATGTGCCCTTCATGGACTGTGTGGACTGTAACATCCCCCTCAGTTGTGACCAATGGAGACTGAAACCCTCCAAAGGTTTGCGCTGGGCTCTAGACAATATTTCAGGATGGGAGATTAAATTAGCCAGCTGTACTAGTGTCACATTTTATACTGTACATTTACAGTATGGACAGTTTCATTGCAGGTTTTTGGAGTGGTGCTCCTCCTAGCTCTGGTCAAACGTTGTGCACTATAATAATAATATGCCATTTAGCAGACGCTTTTATCCAAAGCGACTTATAGTCATGTGCGCATACATTTTTACGTATGGGTGGTCCCAGGGATCGAACCCACTACCCTGGCGATACAAGCGCCATGCTCTACCAATTGAGCTACAGAGGACCACACTATAGGGAATCGGTTGCCATTTGGGACATACACATTGTTTTGTTTTCTCATCAGATAGACTTGATAACCCTGTAGTTTGGTGTAATCACAGTAATAATTTAATTAGAGAAGGGAAGTGTTGTCTTTTTAAGTAGGGTGATTTAATTCATGAATTGAGAAGGAACACAACAGATTGAAATGGAGAAGGACTAGTGGACTAGCTCCACCTAGTGCTACAGTTTATAACACATCCTTCATATATACCACATAGGTCTGCAGCCACTCCTATTGCACAGTGATAGGGGAAACACTCAAATAAATCCAATACAATTTGGTCTTGGCATTCAGGCTCTGCTGACAGGAAGAAAAGCAGAAAATTCAAAACCGACAACCGAATAGCCTAATTTATGGAATGTAACTATTTGTGACTGTATGGTTTCATGTGGTAGTGACAGTAATATTGTGTGGTGGTACAGGCATTGAGCTGACTGGGGAAAAGGAGGTGGATCTGGCCACTCAGGTCCAGGAGCTGCTGGAGTTCCTCCATGAGAAGCAGCATGAGCTGGACGTCAGCGCTGACCAGACCCAGAAGAGACTGCAGGAGTGTCTGCAGCTCCGACACCTGCAGTCAGAGGTCAAACAGGTGGGTGGGAGTACGCATGCGCACACATACACACGCTCATATTGGACAGTGCCTTCAGAAAGTATTCATACCCCTTGACTTATTCCACATTTTGTTGTGTTACAGCCTGAATTTTAAATGGATTAAATCAATGTTTTTCTCACCCATCTATACACAACAGTGGAGGCTGCTGAGGGGAGGACGGCTCATAATAATGGCTGGAACGGAGCAAATGGAATGGCATCAAACACCTGGAAACCATGTGTTTGATGTATTTGATACCATTCTTCCCCATTTAATGTGCCACCAACCTCCTGTGATACACAATACCCTATAATGACACAGTGAAAACATGTTTTTGGAAATGTTTACAAATTTATTGAAAATGAAATACAGAAATATCTCATTTACATACGTATTCACACCCTTGAGTCAATACATGTTAAAATCACCTTTGGCAGCGATTACAGCTGTGAGTCTTTCTGGGTAAGTCTCTAAGAGCTAAGAGCTGCACATTATTATTTTTAAAATTCTTCAAGCTCTGTCAAGTTGGTTGTTGATCATCATTAGACAGCCATTTTCAAGTCTTGCCATAGATTTTCAAGCCAATTCAAGTCAAAACTGTAACTAGGCCACTCAGGAACATTCAATGTCATCTTGGTAAGCAACTCCAGTGGATATTTGGTCTTGTGTTTTAGGTTATAGTCTTGCTGAAAGGTGAATTTGTCTCCTACTGTCTGTTGGAAAGACCCATAACCAGGTTTTCCTCTAGGATTTTGCCTGTGCTTAGCTGTATTCCATTTATTTTTATCCTAAAAAACGCCCTTGTCCTTGCCGATGACAAGAACACCCATAATATGATGCAGCCACCACCATGCTTGAAAATATGAAGAGTGGTACTCAGTGATGTATTGGATTTGCCCCAAACATAACACTTTTTATTCAGGACATAAAGTTAAAATCATTACCATATTTTTTGCAGTTTTACTTTAGTGCCTTATTGCAAACAGAATGCATGTTTTGGGATATTTTTATTCTGTACAGGCTTCCTTCTTTTCACTCTGTCAATTAGATTAGTATTGCGGAGTAACTACAATGTTTTTGATCCATCCTCTGTTTTCTCCTATCACAGCCATTCAACTCTGTAACTGTTTTAAAGTCACCATTGAAATCCCTGAGTGGTTTCCTTCCTCTCCAGCAACTGAGTTAGGAAGGACGCCTGTATCTTTGTAGTTACTGGGTGTATTGATTCACCATCCAAAGTGTAATTAGTAACTTCACCATGCTCAAAGGGATATTCAATGTCTGCTTTGGTTTTATTTTTACCCATCTACCAATAGGTGCCCTTCTTTGCGAGGCATTGGAAAACCTCCCTTGTCTTTGTGGTTGAATCTGTGTTTGCAATTCACTGCTCGACTGAGGGACCTTACAGATAATTGTATGTGTGGGGTACAGAGATGAGGTAGTCATAAAAAAATCATGTTAACCACTATTATTGCACAGAGTGAGTCCATGCTACTTATCATGTGACTTGTTGAGCAAATCTTTACTCCTGAACTTAGTTAGGCTTGCCATAGCAAAGGGGTTGAATACTTATTGACTCAAGACATTTCAGCTTTTCATTTTTAATTAATTTGTAAACATTTCCAAAAACATAATTCCTCTTTGACGTTATGGGGTATTGTGTGTATACCAGTGATTCAAAATCTCAATTTAATTAATTTAAAATTCAGGCTGTAACACAACAAAATATGGAAAAAGTCAAGTGGTGTGAATACTTTCTGAAGGCACTGTATATGCACTCGCAAACACACTATGGCTAGGGTGAACTGGACTGGTGAGAGTCCATAGCTGTTTCCAGCACACACACTCACATACACACACACACACACACACACACAATGAGAGAACCCAGCAGGATACACCCTACATCAAACAGTCAGTGTGAGTGCATGGCCTCCAGCAGTGGTTCAATATTTAATCAATGTTTGGCTTTTATCAGCTGCTTGGTGAAGACTGCTTTTCTGCTTGTAGGGTACAATGTCAACTCAATGTATGCCAGTGAAATGCATTTCCTTCAGCTTGTTATGATTATTTAATCATCCTCAGACAGGCCAGTAAAGTATCATCTGTTTCACTCTGAAGTTGCCTCCCAAATGGTACCTTATTCCCTACATAGTACACTACTTTTGACCAGGGCAAATGTAGTGCACTATTTAGGGAATAGGGTGCCATTTGGGACGCAAGTCTGAGAGAGCAGCTCTTTGAGGAAATTTCAATCTGAATGTCAGTTTGACAGAGAGCACATTCAGCTGTGTGCCTTCCTCACTATTTGAGATATCCAAACTGTGGAAATACAGATAGATGATTAAAATATGCTGGATCGCTCTCTCAAACTGAGTTCAACCGTGCCATCCACCTAGCAAATCACTTCTTAAAGTCAATATTAAATCTACTATTAAATTATTCAACGACAATATCAATGGAAATTGATATTTATTGGATAATATTTCCAGACAAAACACGTCTCAACCGAAAATGCTGCAGTTTCTGTAAATAATTAATTATGTTTGTCGCAGTGGTAGTGACACGTACACTGAGTATACAAAACATTAACAACACCTTTCCATGACATAGACTGACAAGGTTAATCTAGGTGAAAGCCATGATCCCTTATTGATGTCACTTGTTAAATCCACTTCAGTTCTTATAGATGAAGGGGAGGAGACAGGTAAAATAAGGATTTTTTAAGCCTTGAGACAATTGAGACATGGATTGCGCAACTCAATATTAGGAAGGTGTTCCCAGATGGCTGCTAGCTTCCCTCACACCATCCTCAGTGTCTCGCCTCGCGCTAGCCGCATTCTGCATTAATCTCATTTGGGCTGTAGTAATTGCTGTCACCGGGGACTTGGGAGTGAAGAGGCTCCACTTTGCATGATGCACTCTAATGGAAGGAAGGCAGGAAATAAGCCTGATTGTCGCAGAGTATCTCTGAAGGAGGCTTCTGGGACTGTGCCCAGCCCAGGTATTGTGGTGGTGGAGGGAGGAGGGGGGGGGGGGGGGAGAAGAGAGGAGAGAAGGTGTAGCAAAGGACAGGGCTAAGAGAGCGGGAGATAGAGAAGGATAGGTAGAGAGAAAGAAAGAAAGAAAGAAAGAAAGAAAGAAAGAAAGAAAGAAAGAAAGAAAGAAAGAAAGAAAGAAAGAAAGAAAGAAAGAAAGAAAGAAAGAAAGAAAGAGGGTGGTACGGATTAGCCATATCCGCAGTGTCCCCCTGACCTGCACAGCCGGTCTCTGAGTTTTAGGAAGCTAGAGAGAAAAAACAATCAATGTTTCTAATCCCTCATGGGATTCCTAAATGAACAGAAGGGAACATATGTAATATCTAATAGTTAAATGCCCGTGAAGAAAATACTACTGCTAATCCTAGTTTATCCCCTTATTTATGTTGAGCTATGCCACCAATATGTGCTTTTATGAAGCTAAACTATTCTAAAGCTCTTTGTGCCTCTAGTTGTATCTCATGCTTGATTTTGGGATTGCATTAGATATGTATTACATAAGCTCTGCCTAAATGACTGGGTATTTCCCAAAGTTTTCAACTGCTGTTTAAAGTTAACCATGTCTGAGTATCTTCATACTTATAAAACAGTGACATTATGGGTACTGTATTATGTTACGTGACACCAACCATTAACCCAGAGTTCTTCTAGCCACATTGACCATAGCATCCTGTGAGCTGATGTTTGCCCAGAATGTTTGCCCACCAGTGGTGGCTGGTGGCACTTTAAATCGGAGGACAGGCTCATATAATAGTAATAGCTGGAACAGAATAATTGGAATGGTATGAAAAACACAGGAACAACATGTTTCCATGTGTTTGATACTATTCTGTTCACCCCATTCCAGCCATTATTATGAGCCGTCCTCCCCTCACCAGCCTCCTCTGGCCCAGAGCTAACTGTACTGTACCAATGTGAACTCTAAAATCCTGTCTCCTACTCTGTGTGTCCTGTGTGTCCCGCGCAGGTCCTGGGCTGGATCCGGAATGGGGAGTCCATGTTGAATGCCAGCATGGTGAATGCCAGCTCACTGTCAGAGGCAGAGCAACTCCAGAGGGAGCATGAACAGTTCCAGCTGGCCATCGAGGTAACCGCTACCCCCGCCAAACCAGACTGACAAGGCTAATCACTTCAATGTGCGCTGTCATGAAACTACATACACACGCATGGGTGCACGCACACACACACACACATACACAAACACACAAAAATAAACTCCATATATGCTTAGTCACACACACACAAACATTCTCTGTCAACACCAGTGCAGTGCTTGTTTTCATTCAGCTCTTTAAATAGCTGCTGCTCTGAGCATGACGGCAAACGCTCACACACACGCAGGATGGGGCTGCCTGGTAAAGTTCTGTATCTGCACGCACACGCACAGGCTCTGCCGTGGCGCTCACTCTGAGTACTGGAGCCTGGATCCGGAGGCCCAGTGGCCTGTTCCAGCCCATTCTTGTGTGCGTGCATGCGTGTGTGTGTGTGTCATGAATCACATCCAGCACAGCTCTGAATCCATTTGGGGATTGAAAATAAGCCTTTCAACCTTATTTTCAACCGGTGGGTAGAGCATGTTTTGACAATGAAACCCCCCCCCAAATTTTTTTTTACATAATTTGTTGCTGCAGTTCAGTGTTGTGGCACTTTAACTTACTCAAAATCAGTCACCAAAGATATGGGATAAAAGGCAGGAATTCAGTAGGTGAGGGATTGATATTGTACAATTCCTGTTAGTAGAGACCTTGAAGAGTAGGAATATGAAAATAAATTGTTAAAATGTGTTTAAGGCTAAAAAGCAAGAATTTGGTAAGATTGTGCAAAAGTATGTGGACACCTGCTCGTCTAACATCTTTCCAAAATCATGGGGCATTATTTCCACTAGATGTTGGAACATTGCTGCGGGGACTTGCTTCCATTCAGCCACAAGAGCATTAGTGAGGTTGGGCATTGATGTTGGGCGATTAGGCCTGGCTCGCAGTCGGCGTTCCAATTCATCCCAAAGGTGTTCGATGGGGTTGAGGTCAGTGCTCTGTGCAGGCCAGTCAAGTTCTTCCACACCGATCTCGACAAACCATTTTTTCAAACTCATTTCAAAAGACATACTCAATTGATCGCATTCTATTTGGAGACAATTCCTGAACTTTGCTTTGTTTATGACAATACACAAATCATCATATTTTTGATTAAACGTAGTAAGTTAAAGTTAAATACTGTATTCCTTCTTGTGTAAGTGCAGAAATGTTGAATGACTCTTGACTGCGTCCTTTCCATTTCTCCTGCATTGGTTATCTCTGGTGAATTTATAGTTGTAAATCAAGCCTGGATCTGGCAGGGAAAGCACAACATGGTAGTTTGCCTGTCAGGGTTTAATTCTTTACGATTGAGTACACTTGTAAAAAATGCATTCTGTGTCTCTTAAATTCTGATTTATTTTTTCCTTTGTGGTGCTACTCGGCCTAGACAAGCAACAAAAACAGGCAGCCATTTGACATGGTTACAACTGAATCTTTCCTTTCTAGTGGACAACATACTTATGTGAGATGAGGAAAAAATAGGAGAGGAAGTCGGCAGAATATTTCCCATACCGTGCACTACTATTGACCAGGCCCAGTTTCCCAAAGCCTCTTATGGCTAAGTTCATCATTAGAACCTTCGTAGGAGCATCGTTAAATCTTCGAGCTGTTTCCAAAAACCATTGTTACAAAAGTTGCACTTGAAAACGCTCGTTATTTACCGACTGCCTCAGACCACGTAGAACAGCTAGGCGCGTTGTTAAATGCTTTTTTGCCCTTCTGCGTCACTTTATACACAGAAGATCTCCGCTAAACATAGAATCAAGATGTTTATCTGTCTCTCTGCGACCGCTGATAACTTCAGAAGTTGACTACAGATACAAAGTTGCCAATGTCTTTGCAATTGTTAAACATGCGGAGGATAAAAAGATGCTTCAAATGAAAACCGAGATGACTACATTAAAAGATATATACAGGAGGCCTATAGGATACAGATATAGGTCTATATATTGAAATCATGTTGAAATCCATTTCATGCAAATTGTAGCCTACTGTCTCAATATATTTCATGATGTGTAACAACATGCGCAATGATATGCCAAATCTGTGATTTAGTGTGTTATTATTGGGTCAGCATAAGAATAAGCTGCCTCAATATTTGCAGCTGTAGGTGATAATATCTCTCTAGGAGCTGATCCGACATCAGTATTGTGAAGTAATTATTATGTTAAGGTAAGATTTGAATGGAGAAAGCTGATCCGAGAGCAGCGCTGCCTTTCTTTAGATCCTATCAGTTTTGACACGCACTTAGTGAATGTTCTCTCTGAGTAGGGTTTTGGGAAACGCATGTTAAATCTTCGGCCGTTGTAGGAATTATGCATCATTAAAACACTCGTAAGCCTAAGTTCCATCACTATCGGGAAACCGGGCCCAGGGCCCTGGTCAAAAGTAGTGCACTTCATAGGGAATAGGGTGCCATTTGGGATGTCGTCATGGAGTCGGAGTTGATGTTGAGAAATGGGTTCGCTCTGATGCCATATGGAAAGATAATTGCATTTATTCTTAGTGTGAAAGTATCTTTAGACTGCTCCAATTAAGTAGCTAATGAAGGGTCACTTATCTTTAAGGCTCTTATATTTATGCATCTTCTTTTAATAAAATTATACATAAACTTTCAATCATAATTTATTGGAAGATTTTAATCACACAGGCAATGATATCAAAAGTATAATACCTTGCAAGTACTATACTAGACTGGACTAGAGTCAATGGCATATATCAAGGGTTAACACACACAGTACCATCCTTTTCTCGCTTGTGGATCCGCCCCAAAAACGGCATTGTAGAAAAAAAAGGTAAACATGAAATATATCAAGTCTTGACACATGTTCAGTTTGTAAAAACTTCATATTTACCCTGTACATTACAATTAAGACACAATCATGTAACATTTACCCCTCAGTCTAAACAACCCTCTCTCTCTCTGTGTCCCCTCAGTCCCTGTTCCATGCCAATTCCCTCCAGAAGACCCACCAGAGTGCCCTGCAGGTACAACAGAAGGCTGAAGTCATGCTCCAGGCGGGCCACTTTGACCCGGACGGCATACGGGCCTGCGCCGAGAAGGTGGCCATGCACTGGCAGCAGCTCATGCTCAAGATGGAGGATCGACTCAAGCTGGTCAATGCTTCTGTGGCCTTCTACAAGACCTCCGAGCAGGTGTGTGTCGACCCCAACCCCACACAGCACTCCCTGAATTGTTTTTAGTTTTAGCTGAATCACTCAAAAACTGCCTCAAGCATTTCCCATCCAATAAGACAAATGGTAGTGGTGGCCTGGAGGGCCTACTTGAGAGGCATTCTCTCTTTAATCACGTCATCCTGTCTCTAGCTATATCCTCAATAAACAAGGAAAAATATGAATTCCCACTCTTTTAATAAAATAAAAAAACAGAGCATGGTGTGGTTTTTTGTTTGGTTAAACGCAAAGACAGAAAAGGCTGCATAACGGTACTATGTCCGGTTCCAGGATGGCACCTCGGAATTGTGTGCGACCTAGTGTGAGGACTAACTGAGACACCTGTGCCCTCCTCAGGTATGTAGTGTGCTGGAGAGTCTGGAGCAAGAGTACAGGAGAGATGAGGACTGGTGTGGTGGCCATGACAAGCTGGGAGCCATGGCTGAGACGGACCATGTCATCCCCCTCATCAGCAAACACCTGGAGCAGAAGGAAGCCTTCCTCAAGGTACAGCAGAGAAACATGGTTGTGTCTCAAATGGTGCCCAATTCCCTGTGCCTCCTTTGTCTGTGCCGGTACATCATGATCGTCTGCAAAGAAAATAATAAACGAACACAGACAATTAGTATACGGTACGAATAAATAAGTAGCTAGCTAGCAATCCCATTTAGCTACAATATTAACAAACAAACAGATGAACGTAGCTACATTTTTTACATTTACATTTTAGTCATTTAGCAGACGCTCTTATCCAGAGCGACTTACAGGAGCAATTAGGGTTAAGTGCCTTGCTCAAGGGCACATCGACAGATTTTTCACCTAGTCGGCTCGGGGATTAGAACCAGCGACCTTTCGGTTACTGGCACAACGCTCTTAACCACTAAGCTACCTGCCGCCCCGCCCCGCTAATCAAATGGCTACCCGGAATATTTGTATTGTCCCCCCACCCCCTCTTTTTACGCCGATGCTACTCTGTTTATTATCTATGCATAGGCACTAACTCCACCCACATGTACATATTACCTTGACTAACCTGTGCCCCCGCACATTGACTCTGTACTGGTACCCCCTGTTAGCTAACTGTCACCGCCACCTACTGTGTGGGCTGTGTCCGCCTACTGTTCTAGAGTGTGAATTCATTACACTTTGTGACACAAAAAGGGGAGGGAAAAGGGAAGAAATATTGCCCTACCAACTAACCCTACACCCATTAAAGCCTCATCGCTATTCCACTACTTGGTCCTATCTGATCCTACACCAGGCCGGCAGCCTGGGAGGACGGGACATTATCGTTCATCACCTTGTAACTCTTCTGCAGTAAAACCTTGTACAACCAAGTACTTATCTGCAGCTGCCACCACAACATCTATACTGAACAAAAATATAAACGCAACAAGCAACAATTTCAACGATTTTTCTGAGTTACAGTTCATATAAGGAAATCAGTCAATTGAAATAAATTCATTAGGCCCTAATCTATGGATTTCACATGACTGGGCAGGAGCGCAGCCATGGGTGAGGAGCCAGGCCTAGCCAATCAGAATGAGTTTTCCCCACAAAAGGGCTTTATTACAGACAGTTTCATCAGCTGTCCGGGTGGCTGGACGATCCCGCAGGTGAAAAAGCCGGATGTGGAGGTCCTGGGCTGACGTCGTTACACGTGGTCTGCGGTTGTGAGGCCGGTTGGACGTACTGCCAAATTCTCTAAAACGACGTTGGAGGCAGTTTATGGTAGAGAAATTAACATTAAATGATCTGTCAACAGCTCTGGTGGACATTCCTTCAGTCAGCATGCCAATTGCGCACTCCCTCTGTCAAGGCGTCAGTGTAATGTGGTAGGCGAAGTCAGGCGCAGGACACAGAGCTAATCAGAAGGCGTACTTTACTCGAAGGTAAAAGAAAGAACAACAACCTCCACGCAGGGAGGGAACAAACCTGCACACTAACGACAGCCGAAACATGAACAAACACACACAACACACAGTGTGAGACAGAGGGTTAAATAGGGGAGACATGCAGTGGGGAGAACAAGTATTTGATACACTGCCGATTTTGCAGGTTTTCCTACTTACAAAGCATGTAGAGGTCTGTAATTTTTATCATGGGTACACTTCAACTGTGAGAGACGGAATCTAAAACAAAAATCCAGAAAATCACATTGTATGATTTTTAAGTAATTAATTTGCATTTTATTGCATGACATAAGTATTTGATACATAAGAAAAGCAGAACATAATATTTGGTACAGAAACCTTTGTTTGCAATTACAGAGATCATACGTTTCCTGTAGGTCTTGACCAGGTTTGCACACACTGCAGCAGGGATTTTGGCCCACTCCTCCATACAGACCTTCTCCAGATCCTTCAGGTTTCGGGGCTGTCGCTGGGCAATACGGACTTTCAGCTCCCTCCAAAGATTTTCTATTGGGTTCAGGTCTGGAGACTGGCTAGGCCACTCCAGGACCTTGAGATGCTTCTTACGGAGCCACTCCTTAGTTGCACTGGCTGTGTGTTTCGGGTCGTTGTCATGCTGGAAGACCCAGCCACGACCCATCTTCAATGCTCTTACTGAGGGAAGGAGGTTGTTGGCCAAGATCTCGCGATACATGGCCCCATCCATCCTCCCCTCAATACGGTGCAGTCGTCCTGTCCCCTTTGCAGAAAAGCATCCCCAAAGAATGATGTTTCCACCTCCATGCTTCATGGTTGGGATGGTGTTCTTGGGGTTGTACTCATCCTTCTTCTTCCTCCAAACACGGCGAGTGGAGTTTAGACCAAAAAGCTAAATTTTTGTCTCATCAGACCACATGACCTTCTCCCATTCCTCCTCTGGATCATCCAGATGGTCATCCGCAAACTTCAGACGGGCCCTCAGTAAGAGCATTGAAGATGGGTCGTGGCTGGGTCTTCCAGCATGACAACGACCCGAAACACAAAGCCAGTGCAACTAAGGAGTGGCTCCGTAAGAAGCATCTCAAGGTCCTGGAGTGGCCTAGCCAGTCTCCAGACCTGAACCCAATAGAAAATCTTTGGAGGGAGCTGAAAGTCCGTATTGCCCAGCGACAGCCCCGAAACCTGAAGGATCTGGAGAAGGTCTGTATGGAGGAGTGGGCCAAAATCCCTGCTGCAGTGTGTGCAAACCTGGTCAAGACCTACAGGAAACGTATGATCTCTGTAATTGCAAACAAAGGTTTCTGTACCAAATATTAAGTTCTGCTTTTCTTATGTATCAAATACTTATGTCATGCAATAAAATGCAAATTAATTACTTAAAAATCATACAATGTGATTTTCTGGATTTTTGTTTTAGATTCCGTCTCTCACAGTTGAAGTGTACCTATGATAAAAATTACAGACCTCTACATGCTTTGTAAGTAGGGAAACCTGCAAAATCGGCAGTGTATCAAATACTTGTTCTCCCCACTGTAACTACATAATGGGAAACAGGTGTGACCAATAAAGACAAAAGAAGTCGAACATAGATACATGGATTGAAGCAGCTAGTACTCCGGTGACGACGAACGCCGAAGCCTGCCCGAGCAAGGAGGAGGGGCAGCCTCGGCTGAATCCGTAACAGTACCCCCCCCCCTTGACGCGCGGCTCCAGCCATGCGCCGACCCCGGCCTCGAGGACGGCCAGGAGGACGCGGAGCAGGACTGGTCGGATGACTCTGGTGGAAATCCCTCAACATGGAGGGATCGAGTTTGTCCCTCCTAGGGACCCAGCACCGTTCCTCCGGACCGTACCCCTCCCACTCCATGAGATACTGCAAGCCCCCCACCCAACGTCTCGAATCCAAGATGGAACGGACTGAGTACGCCGGAGCCCCCTCGATGTCCAGTGGGGGCGGAGGAACCTCCCGTACCTCAGACTCCTGGAGTGGACCAGCTACTACCGGCCTGAGGAGAGACACATGGAACGAGGGGTTAATACGGTAATTAATAGGAAGTTGTAACCTATAACAAACCTCGTTCAATCTCCTCAGGACTTTAAATGGCCCCAGAAACCGCCGACCCAGCTTCAGGCAGGGCAGGCAAAGGGCCAGGTTTCGGGTCGAGAGCCAGACCCGGTCCCCCGGTGCATACACCGGGGCCTCACTGCGGTGGCGATCGGCGCTCTCCTTTTGTCGCCTGATTGCCCGCTGCAGGTGTACATGAGCAGTGTTCCAGGTCTCTTCCGAGCGCCGAAACCACTCATCCACCGCAGGAGCCTCGATCTGGCTCTGATGCCAAGGTGCCAGGACCGGCTGATAACCTAACACACACTGGAAAGGCGTAAGGTTAGTAGAGGAGTGGCGGAGTGAGTTTTGGGCAATCTCTGCCCAGGGGATATAACCTGACCACTCCCCCTGCTGGTCCTGGCAATAGGACCTCAGAAACCTACCCACATCCTGGTTAACTCTCTCCACCTGCCCATTACTCTCGGGGTGAAAACCTGAGATAAGGCTAATCGAGACCCCCAGACGTTCCATGAACGCCCTCCAGACCCTTGAGGTGAACTGGGGACCCCGATCCGATACAATATCCTCAGGTACCCCGTAGTGCCGGAAGACGTGTGTAAACAGGGCTTCAGCAGTTTGTAGGGCTGTAGGAAGACCTGGCATAGGAATGAGATGGCAGGCCTTCGAAAACCGATCCACAATGACCAGGATCGTGGTGTTCCCTTGTGAGGGGGGAAGGTCCGTCACAAAATCCACCGATAGGTGGGACCACGGCCGTTGTGGAACGGGTAGGGGTTGTAATTTCCCCCTGGGCAGGTGTCTAGGTGCCTTACGCTGGGCGCACACCGAGCAGGAGGAAACATAAACTCTCACGTCCTTGGCTAAAGTGGGCCACCAGTACTTCCCACTAAGACAGTGCACTGTCCGACCGATGCCAGGATGACCAGAGGAGGGTGACGTGTAAGCCCAATAGATCAATCGATCACAAACCTCGAGTGGCACGTACATCCGACCCTCTGGACACTGGGGGGGAGTGGGCTCGGTACGTAACGCCCGCTCGATGTCCGCATCAACCTCCCACACCACCGGTGCCACCAGACACGACGCCAGGAGTATGGGAGTGGGCTCAATGGACCTCTCCTCTGTGTCATATAGTCGGGACAGGGCGTCTGCCTAAGCGTTCTGGGAACCTGGTCTGTAATTGAGAGTAAACACAAAACGAGTGAAGAACATGGCCCACCTTGCCTGACGTGGGTTCAACCTCCTCGCCGCCCGGATGTACTCCAGGTTACGATGGTCAGTCAAAATGAGAAAAGGGTGTTTAGCCCCCTCAAGCCAATGCCTCCACACTTTCAGAGCTTGAACCACAGCTAACAGCTCCCGGTCCCCCACATCATAATTGCGCTCCGCCGGACTGAGCTTCTTAGAAAATAAAGCACAGGGGCGGAGTTTTGGTGGCGTACCCGAGCGCTGAGACAGTACAGCTCCAATCCCAGCCTCGGGCGCATCCACCTCAACCTGGAATGCCACGGAAGGATCCGGATGAGCCAGCACCGGAGCCGAAGTAAACAGGTCCTTCAGATGCCTAAAAGCCCTGTCCGCCTCAGCTGACCACTGCAGACGCACCGGTCCTCCCTTTAGCAAGGAGGTAATGGGGCCGCTACCTGCCCAAAGCCCCGGATAAACCTCCAGTAGTAATTGGCAAAACCCATGAATTGCTGCACCTCCTTCACCGTGGTTGGAGTCTGCCAATTACGCACGGCCGAAATGCGGTCAATCTCCATCTCCACACCTGACGCGAACAGGCGGTGTCCATGAAGGAGATGGACTCTTGGAAGAACAGACATTTCTCCGCCTTCACATAAAGGTCATGCTCCAACAGTCTACCAAGCACCTGACGCACCAGGGACACATGCTCGGCCCGTGTAGCGGAGTATATGAGAATGTCATCAATATACACCACTACACCCTGTCCATGCAGGTCCCAGAATATCTCATCAACAAAAGATTGGAAGACTGAAGGAGCATTCATCAAACCGTATGGCATGACGAGGTACTCATAGTGCCCCGAGGCGGTACTAAATGCAGTTTTCCACTCATCTCCCTCCCGGATATGCACCAGGTTGTACGTGCTCCTGAGATCCAATTTAGTGAAGAAGCGTGCCCCGTGGAATGACTCCGTCATACTCGCAATCAGAGGTAATGGATAGCTGTATTTTATTGTGATCTGATTTAGACCACGGTAGTCAATGCACGGGCATAAGCCACCATCCTTCTTCTTCACAAAAAAGAAACTCGATGACACAGGGGAAGTGGACGGCCGAATGTATCCCTGTCTCAGAGATTCGATGACGTATGTTTCCATAGCCGCCGTCTCCTCCTGTGACAGAGGATACACGTGACTCCGGGGAAGCGCAGCGCCTACCTGGAGGTTTATCGCACAATCCCCCTGTCGATGGTGTGGTAATTGAGTCGCCTTCTTTTTACAGAAGGCGAGAGCAAAATCGGCATATTCAGGCGGAATTTGCATGGTGGGAACCTGGTTTGGACTTTCCACCGTAGTTGCCCCTACGGAAACACCTACACACCTCCCCAAGCACTGACTTGACCATCCCTTGAGAGCCCTCTGTTGCCATGAAATAGTGGGGTCATGAGAAGTTAACCAGGGAAGCCCCAACACCACGGGAAACGCAGGAGAATCAATCAGATATAGACTAATTATTTCCTCATGCCCCTCCTGCTTCTTCATCCAGAGTGGCGCTGTGACCTCCCTAATCAGACCTGACCATAAAGGGCGACTATCTAGGGCATGGATAGGGAAGGGCACATCGACTGGCACAATAGGAATCCCTAACGTACGGGTAAACTGACGATCAATAAAGTTCCCAGCTGCGCCTGAATCTACTAGCGCCTTATGCTGGGAATGAGAAGAAAACTCGGGAAACACAACATTAATACACATATGCGCAACAGGGAGCTCTGGGTGAGTTGGGTGCCTACTCACCTGAGACGGTTCATCAGTGCGCTGCCTACTGCCTCGACTCCTTGAAGGCCCTCCCCAACACCGACCAGCAGTGTGTCCTCTGCGGCCACAGTTGGTGCAGGGGACGGCCCCTCTACCAGTCTCCCTCATAGCAGCACCTCCGAGCTCCATAGGGGTAGGGTCGGAGGTGCTGGGGGATGGAATGGACGGCCCCTGATCAGGACGTCCGCGGGTAGCCAACAGGTTATCCAGTCGAATAGACATATCCACCAGTTGGTCCAGGTTTAGGTTGGTGTCCCTGCAGGCCAATTCCCAACGAACGTCCTCCCTCAAGCTGCAACGGTAGTGGTCGATGAGGGCCCTCTCATTCCATCCTGCGCTGGCAGCCAGAGTCCGAAAGTCCAGTGCAAATTCCTGCGCGCTCCTCTTCCCCTGTCTGAGGTGTAATAGACGCTCACCCGCCGCTCTCCCCTCTGGTGGATGAGCGAATACCGCCCTAAAGCGGCGGGTAAACTCTGCATAGCTTACAGTTGTGGCGTCTATTCCCCCCCACTCGGCGTTGGCCCACTCCAGCGCTTTACCGGACAGACAGGAGATGAGGGCGGACACGCGGCAGCTGTACTGTCATAAGCCCTCGGGAGCGAGAGCCGAATCCCACTGGACCCAGAAGGTGAAGCGATGGACATCGGGGTAGGTGGTGGTGTAATCGGAGGAGGTATAGGGATGCCTCCTCTCTCCCATCGCTCCATAGTGTTCACAACTCGTTCCATGGCGGTGCCGAGAGCCTGGTTCATGGCCGCTTGTTGTTGGACGCGTTTCTCCATCGATCCGGCTGGCATCGCTGTACCTGCTGACTCCATGTAGATGGTGTGTGTTTCTGTCAAGGCGTCAGTGTAATGCGGTAGGCGAAGTCAGGCGCAGGACACAGAGCTAATCAGAAGGCGTACTTTACTCGAAGGTAAAAGAAAGAACAACAACCTCCACGCAGGGAGGGAACAAACCTGCACACTAACGACAGCCGAAACATGAACAAACACACACAACACACAGTGTGAGGCAGAGGGTTAAATAGGGGAGACATAACTACATAATGGGAAACAAGTGTGACCAATAAAGACAAAACAAGTCGAACATAGATACATAGATCGGTAGCGGCTAGTACTCTGGTGACGACGAACGCCGAAGCCTGCCCGAGCAAGGAGGAGGGGCAGCCTCGGCTGAATCCGTGACACCCTCAAAACTTGAGACATCTCTGGCATTGTGTTGTTGTGTGACAAAACTGCACATTTTAGAGTGATCTTTTATTGTCCACAGCACAAGGTGCACCTGTGTAATTATCATGCTGTTTAATCAGCTTCTTGATATGCCACATCTGTCAGGTGGATGGATTATCTTAGCAAAGGAGAAATGCTCACTAACAGGGATGTAAACAAATTTGTGCACAAAAGTTGAGAGAAATAAGCATTTTTTTGCATATGGACAATTTCTGGGATCTTTTATTTTAGCTAATGAAACATGGGACCGACACTTCACATTGCATTTATATTTTTGTTCAGTAAATGTACTGTGATTTACGTTCCATTTTTGCAGTACAGTTGATAACCATGGCTAAGAAGCCAACCTTACTGAAGCACACGTTATTCCTGTCACTCTCTATTGCCCTCTGCCTACTCACAGGGAGCCTCTTAGGATCCCTCACCCTGTACCAATCTTCCTCTACTACTCTCTTCAATGCCTCAACATACCTTCTGTACTACTCTGACCCTGGCAATCTCAACCTACCTTTCTCTCACTGGACACTTCTGATCTCCAGCAACATGGGTAACCCCTACAGTTAACACACACCCCAGTTATCACTCCTTTCAATAGCACCCTGCTCCAGAGAAAAACAAGTCACAGGTCTTGTCCTGAGGCGCGTGGTGCAGAGCACCCGCTCCCTCTGGACAGAAGACACACAAAAAAGTAATCACGAGTCCACTTCGAGTTACTTTCACCAATTCAACAGTCCCCAACCCCTTCTCCACCCAACCTGACATCACATATGGATCAGCCAGAAGGCAAGGATCCATTCTCTCCAAAAATGTCACTCCCATTGCGCCAGAATCATCTTTGTCATCATCAGGGCGAGACTCGAACTCTGTGGTCTTCACCGCACCTGCCACCGAAGGTAATTCATCCTCACTCTCGTCATGTTCAATTTCTGAGCTACCAGAGTATGTTTTTTTCTTTTTGTACTTGACAACAATCTTCCTCACCACACCGCTTCCCTCTACACTCAGCTCCTTTCCTTCTTCCTAGCTGTCCATTTCCACATCTCCACGCTCTTTCCACTCTTTCATCCGCTGTGGTAGAAAACTGTTCAAATAGTTCTTGAATTTTCCGCCATGTGGCATTGACTCAAAAAGCTGTACCAGCTGCCATTACTCCTCCGGCTGGTTCCTCTCAACCATAATGTTGCCTTATATTTTCGTCACCCTTTTGAAGCGTTTCTGACGTCGTCGATAGTTGTCTCCTCCCTGGGGGAGGGTGAAGTTGCCCCTGGATGCTGATCTTAGGTAAGTTCTGCATTTCCTCCACTAATGGTTAAGGGTAGGATTGGGGGAGGGGAATCTGATCCTAGATATGTACCTAGGGAAATGCAGGAAGGAGCATGAAGTTTCCCATAGGGACAGATCAGCTTCCCCATATGGGAGAAATGCAAAGCTGACCCAAGATCAGCTAGGGGCAACTTCACCCTACTCCCCCTAGCTCCTAAGAATCACCCAGGGTGATGGAAACACATTTCCCAAAACAGCCACAAGTGCTGCATGGAAATAAATGCACTATAGGGAATGGGGTGCCATTTGGGACGTAACCCATGTTCTGTTGATAATTAATTTGCTGCATTTTCACAGACGCTGAACTGATGCTGTTTTGTCTGTCTGATTATCTTCAGTAGAACTCAAGTGTATTCTGCAACACGTAGCTGTTTGGTTTCATATTGATTTTCCCATTACAGAGCTGGAATACATTTCCACCTCTTGCAGGACATGTTGTGGATGCCAGTTTACTTGTTGTCAAACAAAAACAAATAACCATGTTGACAGTGATGTATCTATGTTGTCTTAAGATATACACATGCAATATCCTAACCTCTCAATGTATTTTGGATGGTAGTTGTGCATACATTTTCCATTGCAATGATCTTGTTTGACAATGTCTGTTCTTGTGCCACAGGCTTGCACATTGGCCAGGAGAAATGCTGAGGTGTTCCTGAAGTACATCCACAGGAATAATGTTGGTATACCTGGTGCTTCAGGCCACGCCAGAGGACCCGAGCAACAGGTTAAAGGTCAGTCACAACAGCCCTATTGGACTAGCATGGTGTTTGTCCCAAATAGCACCCATATTCCCTATATAGTAGCTAAGAGTAATAATAATATTTAATTTGTAGAGCGCATTTCCCACACTCAATGCATGCCTACTTTGGACCAGGGCTGGTCAAAAGTTGTGCACTATATAGGGAATAATAGGGACAACTGAGCACGAGTCCTTATACCTTGCTGTTACTAAGTCTTTCCATGCTCCTCTTCCTTAGGAAATGTACATATTTGTTTTCACTTTCAGTTTAACTTACTTCTAATGTTTCTTATGTTTCTATATGGATTAGTGAGGGCTGTGTTTGAAACTCTGGAGTATTCACCACTGTGCTGAGTATTCACCATTGTTAGATATTACTGCACTGTTGGAGCTAGGAACACAAGCATTTCACTACACCCGCAATAACATCTGCTAAATATGTGTATGAGACCAATACAATTTGATTTGAAGATATGCTAACTTCTTTCTGTGCTCCCTGGCCTCCTTCTCCTCTCTAGCCATCCTCAACGAGCTACTCCAGAGGGAGAACCGGGTTCTGCACTTTTGGACCATGAAGAAACGCTGCCTGGATCAGTGCCAGCAGTACGTGGTGTTCGAACGCAGCGCCAAACAGGTGAGCTCTCCTGAACGCAGCCCAAGCACTCCGAGTGCTGTGTTTATACTGCATGTCCATAACATCTGGCCTACTGGACTGGACCCAGCCAGGGATACGTGGGGGTTTTGTTTGCTTTCGATGGCCAGCACAGCCACCGATGAAAGATAGGGGACATGCAGAGAGGAATACGGAATGAGGGAGCTCTTCACTTCACTAATTTCCCACACTGTATCTCTCCACAGGCCTTAGACTGGATCCAGGAAACAGGAGAGTATTACCTCTCCACTCACACCTCCCCTGGAGAGAGCGGCGAGAGGAGTCAGGAACTACTGAAGGAATATGAGGAATTTCGAGTCTCCGCTAAGGTATGGAGCTGGAGCTGGGAAGCAGATCCAGGCTGCATCCCAAATGGCACCCTATTCCCTATGTAGGCCACTTTTTTTGACCAGTGCACTGCAGAGGGAATAGGGTGCCATTTGGGACGCAGCCCTAGAGCTACTGTTCGGAGTCTGCTCTGACTCCATCACTTACTGCTGACCCTATACCTGCATATCACATTAGCTAAACATTTCCACTGCAGCCTGCCTCGTGTCTACCTGTTTACAGCCAGATGAGATCATTGGCTATCAGTGGTTAAGGCAGCAAACAAGTGTTAAGAGATCTCTCCTGAGGGATGTATGCACTCTCTCAAGCATCAGCCTAGACATTGACAGGGAGTGTGGATGCTACAGATGATTGAAACGCACACACACGTAATAACACACACACACAAATGCAAACTCACCTCTGCACACACACAGTCATACACATCTCTCTGTGGGCTTCCTACAGCAAACCAAGGAGAAGGTGAAGCTCCTCATTCAGCTGGCCGACAGCTTCGTGGAGAAGGGCCATGTGCACGTCACTGAGCTGAAGAAGTGGGTCACCACGGTGGACAAGCGCTACCGAGACTTTTCCCTCCGGATGGGGAAGTACCGCTCCAGCCTGGAGAAATCACTGGGCATCAGCTCCGAGGTAAGGCCCCCTGGAGGGACCCTGTAAGGCCCCTATAGGGTTTAGGGATAACCCCACCTGTTGTGAAAGCTCATTCTTCAACACAACCCCAATCCCTGGCCACTAATTAGGCTTAGTCTTTCTAATGCTAATGAGTGTGTTTTCGAAGGACGTATGAAATGAAACAAATTTTGTCCAACATATGATATTTATAATTTGTGCTCCATTGAATGTAAAGTCCTTCATCTGCTGCTGTTGTTATAACTCCCTTAGTGGGCATCCCCCCTGTAGCAAGGTCCTGCAAATACACTGAAGTGTGAATGTCTCACAAAGGAACAGCTTCCAGCGAGCTAAATACAATATATTTACAATAGATACTATCTCTACCGCCTTGGGGCGAGCAAAACTGGGGGCAAGACCTAAGACATCTCAGTTTGAAGCCCTGTCCTCATCTCGACACGCAGGCATTGATTTATCCTCTACTTCAAAGAGAGCCTGTTCAAAAAGTCTATTTGATGTCAGAGTGCTGAGTGCTGAGTGCTGAGTCATCATGGACCATGTTGAAGGGAATATTACATGAGTCTGATGTTACGTCCCAAATGGCACCCTATTCCCTATGTAGTGCACTACTTTTGACCAGGGTCCATAGGGCTCTGGTCAAAAGTAGTGCACTACATAGGGAATAGGGTGCCATTTGGGACGTGTGCTGAGAGCTCCCTCTGTCTCTGGTAGGATAATAAGGACTTGGAGCTGGACATCATCCCAGCCAGCCTGACTGATCCTGGGGAGGTGAAGCTCCGCGACCCCAACCACGAGGTCAACGAGGAGAAGAGGAAATCAGCCAGGAAGAAAGAGTGAGTACACACTGCAGACAGAGAGAAATAGGGAAGAATCGCTGGAGGAAGCAAGTGTTGCAAAGTAGTCAAGTCTATGGTAGTACTATGGCTTTTAATGCGGTGTATATGTTTAACATTCCATGATGTGCTGGGGGCTGGTCTAGTGGTAGTGCTGCCGTCTGCCCATGCCAGAACATATGCCCTTCGAAAAAGTGGTTTGATCCCCGTTCCGCCACTCACTTTCTCTGCTGTATCCCTCTTTTATATATATAAAACTTGAAAACACAAAAACACAATCCAAGGTGCAGTTCATGTGATATGACTAGATATTGTCATTGGTAGTCTTGGAATGCGGCTTTGGGACGAGACTATGGGTTTGTTCCAAATGGCACCATATGGGCCCTGGTCAAAAGTAGTGCACTATATATGTCATTGCTGGTTGGTGATATATTGCATGTGTTTATTTATCCAGGTTCATAATGGCTGAACTCCTTCAGACTGAGAAGGCCTATGTCAGGGACTTGCATGAATGTTTAGAGGTAAGCTTATTCCTCTTCCATTTTCGCTTGGCAATGAAACTCTTATTTTCAGGGTTGTTTTGGCCTTGGTATGTACTCATAGAGGCAGTTCTTGGGTGTTTTCATGATATAGTAAGTCAGATTTTTTCACCTACACAGTCATTGGTCGTCACAGACACAAGTACTCAATTACATTAACATGTTAGCTATCCAGAGCAACTTACAGTCAGTGCATTCAACTAATTTTAGTAGGAAAAAATACATTACAGTTATAACCCTTAAAAAGGTTGCCAGGAAGAAAAAACAAGTCCAAGATTTTTTGTGAGGATTGGTTGTAGGACATGATAGGATGTCATTTCCTGTGTGTCTTTCTCGTCTCCTCCTCCTGTCTAGACGTACCTGTGGGAGATGACGAGTGGGGTGGAGGAGATCCCGCCTGGCATCGTCAACAAGGAGCACATCATCTTCGGCAACATCCAGGAGATTTATGATTTCCATAACAGGTAGGGGTCTCTTTCAAATTGAGGCTGCATCCCAAATGGCACCCTATGCCCTATATAGTGCACTACTTTTGACCAGGGCAGGGCTGTCATCTGGGACACATCTTTAATTTGAAAGAGATTCCAACTTGTTATATCAGCTGGTTTTGTTGTTGTGTTTCAGGTGCACGTTATTGCATGAGAGACCAATTCAAATAACTTCTATTGCATGTGATTTTGGTTGAGGAAATATTTATTCTATGATAAGCAGTGAATATTATCATGGTTAACCCTCTCTTTACTGTCTAACTGCAGCATTTTCCTCAAAGAGCTAGTGAACTATGAACAGCTACCTGAAGATGTGGGCCATTGTTTTGTCACATGGGTAAGACTCCTGTTTTCACTCAATGGGTCATGTTCATTAGAGCACACAAAGGAAAACGTTGTGAAACGTTTTGCAATGGAAACCAAAAATTAGTATTTCTTATTGGTCACGTCCAGGTAGTCCCTCCCTGTTTCAGTCCGTTTTGTTCCGTTTGGTGCCTAGTGAATACGACCATGGTGTTAGTCTTTTGCTTACACCGCCCATAGGGCACTTCTGACTTGTGGCTTCATGATTGATAATTACATGTGAATGTTGTTTACTTTCTTGCAATTAGGTTATACAACATCTGTAATCAATCAATCAAATGTATTTTATAAAGCCCTTTTTTCCATAAACCATAGGCAGGCATACAGTAGCATGATAACCTCTTGTAAAGCTGCTTGGATTAAGCATTGGCAGTGAACATTGCATACCGTAGTATATTTGTCCATATATACCACTACGTAGTAAGTATGTAGTGGTATATATGGACAAATATATGCATGTAAGAAAATAGATGTTCAGTCATTTGAATTTGACTGGATTTTCCCATTCTGTTTTGCAGGCTGATAAATTCCACATGTACGTCAATTACTGTAAAAACAAACCGGATTCCAGCCAACTCATCTTGGAGCATGCTGGAAGCTTCTTCGACGTAAGTGAATTAGTTTTCCTCTTATACCTGTAGGTGGTGCCAATGAGCCATTTATTTCAAGTCTAAAAGACAGGAATCATATTTTTTATGCTTACTACCATTAGTCTCTTTGCATTACAGTGCACAGTCATCCTCAGAGTCTTATGGGTTCTGTTCCAAATGGCACCCTATTCCCTTTACAGTGTACTACATATGAACAATGGCTATAGAGTTCCAGTCAAAAGTAGTACACTACATAGGGAATAGGATGCCATTTGGGACAAACACATGATTATAGGCTTGAACACATTAGGGTATCTCAATGTCAACATCAATATGCTTTAATCGTCATGATGTCGTCAATTCTGTGTGCAGGAAATCCAGAAGCGACACGGATTGGCCAACTCAATCTCCTCCTACCTTATCAAGCCAGTGCAGAGGATCACTAAGTACCAGCTTCTCCTCAAGGTAGGGAACATGATGGGACAGAAGGTTTGTGTCCCAAATGCCACCCAATTCCCTATATAGTGCACTACTTTTGACTAGAGCCCTATGGGCCCTGGTCAAAAGTAGTGCGCTACAGTCATGACCGAAAATATTGGCATCATTGATAAAGATTAACCCACATTTTTTTGGGGGGAAAGGAAATTATATTATTTTATACTAATACAATAGCTTTTTTCTCAAAAAGATAGCGATACAATTTATTGGCACCCCTGTTTTCAATACTCTCCACTTGCGAGGATAACGACACAGCCTTTTTCTAAAATGTGTTATGAGATTGGAGAACACATTGGGAGGGATCTTAGACCATTCCTCCATACAGAATTATTCTAGATCCTTGATATCCTTCATCTGCACTTATGGACTGCACTCTTCAATTCAAACCACATGTTTTCAATGGGGTTCAAGTCTGGAGACTGAGATGGCCATTGTAAAATGTTGATAACTGGGTAAAGTCCATGACCTTAACAAAGTCCCCAGAGCCAGTGGAAGCAGAATACTCCCATAACATCAAAGATCCACCACAATATTTTATAGTAGGGATGAGGTTCTTTGCATCCTTTCGACACTAGTGCTGAGCGATTAGTGCTTTTTGAGGTTGGTTCCGTTTCAGTTGGATTATTAAAAAATTATCAACATTTTCGATTATTCTTTTAAACATTAAATGCACTATGCATTATGTGGGTTGAATGCTGTAACAATACAGAATAACATTTTATAAAAGTTCCATAATGGTAGTGACTGCCCATTACTGCTTATCACTTATTAACCATCATTTATTCACATTACTTTATTTTAATAAAATATTTCAGTCGTTGTGCATATTTCATTTGTTTTATTTGATGACTTTATTATACGCTGTCTGCCACTATTTTAGTAGTTCTTCAAAGTACTGAATACTAACTATCAATCGCTAACAGTGCCTTCAGAAAGTATTCACACCCCTTGACTTTTCCCCATTTTGTTCCACAATTGAGATTTTTTGTCACTGGCCTACACACAATACGACGTGGAATTATGTTTTTCGAACTTTTTTACAAATTAATTAAAACTGAAAAGCTGAAATGTCTTGAGTCAATAAGTATTCAACCCCTTTGTTATGGGAAGCCTAAATAATACGTTGCTTGGACTCACTGTGTGCAATAATAGTGTTTTGAGCATGTTGAAGTTACAGTGAGGGAAAAAAGTATTTGATCCCCTGCTGATTTTGTACGTTTGCCCACTGACAAAGAAATGATCAGTCTATAATTTTAAAGGTAGGTTTATTTGAACAGTGAGAGACAGAATAACAACAAAAAAATCCAGAAAAAACGCATGTCAAAAATGTTATAAATTCATTTGCATTTTAATTAGGGAAATAAGTATTTGACCCCCTCTCAATCAGAAAGATTTCTGGCTCCCAGGTGTCTTTTATACAGGTAACGAGCTGAGATTAGGAGCACACTCTTAAAGGGAGTGCTCCTAATCTCAGCTTGTTACCTGTATAAAAGACACCTGTCCACAGAAGCAATCAATCAATCAGATTCCAAACTCTCCACCATGGCCAAGACCAAAGAGTTCTCCAAGGATGTCAGGGACAAGATTGTAGACCTACACAAGGCTGGAATGGGCTCCAAGACCATCGCCAAGCAGCTTGGTGAGAAGGTGACAACAGTTGGTGTGATTATTTGCAAATGGAAGAAACACAAAATAACTGTCAATCTCCCTCGGCCTGGGGCTCCATGCAAGATCTCACCTCGTGGAGTTGCATTGATCATGAGAACGGTGAGGAATCAGCCCAGAACTACACGGGAGGATCTTCTCAATGATCTCAAGGCAGCTGGGACCATAGTCACCAAGAAAACAATTGGTAACACACTACGACGTGAAGGACTGAAATCCTGCAGCGCCCGCAAGGTCCTCCTGCTCAAGAAAGCACATATACAGGGCCGTCTGAAGTTTGCCAATGAACATCTGAATGATTCAGATGAGACCAAAATCGAGCTCTTTGGCATCAACTCAACTCGCCGTGTTTGGAGGAGGAGGAATGCTGCCTATGACCCCAAGAACACCATCCCCTCCGTCAAACATGGAGGTGGAAACATTATGCTTTGGGGTGTTTTTCTCCTAAGGGGACAGGACAACTTCACCGCATCAAAGGGACGATGGACGGGGCCATGTACCGTCAAATCTTGGGTGAGAACCTCCTTCCCTCAGCCAGGGCATTGAAAATGGGTCGTGGATGGGCATTCCAGCATGGCAATGACCCAAAACACACGGCCAAGGCAACAAAGGAGTGGCTCAAGAAGAAGCACATTAAGGTCCTGGAGTGGCCTAGCCAGTCTCCAGACAATAATCCCATAGAAAATCTGTGGAGGGAGCTGAAGGCTCGAGTTGTCAAACGTCAGCTTCGAAACCTTAATGACTTGGAGAAGATCTGCAAAGAGGAGTGGAACAAAATCCCTCCTGAGATGTGTGCAAACCTGGTGGCCAACTACAAGAAACGTCTGACCTCTGTGATTGCCAACAAGGGTTTTGCCACCAAGTATTAAGTCATGTTTTGCAGAGGGGTCAAATACTTATTTCCCTGATTAAAATGCAAATCAATTTATTTTTATTTAACATTTTTGACATGCGTTTTTCTGGATTTTTTTGTTGTTATTCTGTCTCTCACTGTTTAAATAAACCTACCATTAAAATGATAGACTGATCATGTCTTTGTCAGTGGGCAAACATACAAAATCAGCAGGGGATCAAATACTTTTTTCCCTCACTGTATGAATTACACTTTGGATGGTGTATCAATACAGCCAGTCACTACAAAGATACAGGCGTCCTTCCTAACTCAGTTGCCAAAGAGAAAGGAAACCACTCAGTGATTTCACCATGAGGCCCAAAAAAACAGTTATAGAATTTGATGGCTGTGATAGGAGAAAACTGAGGGATGGATCAACAACATTGTAGTTACTCCACAATACTAACCTAATTGACAGAATGAAAAGAAGGAAGCCTGTACAGAAGAAAAATATTCCAAAACATGCATCCTGTTTGCAATAACGCACTAAAGTAAAACTGCAAAAAATGTGGCAAAGAAATTTACTTTATGTCCTGAATACAAAGCATTAAGTTTGGGGAAAATCCAACACATCACTGAGTACCACTCTTGATATTTTCAAGCATGGTGTTGGCTGCATCATGTTATGCATATTGCTTACGAAGATGACATTGAATGTTCCTGAGTGGCCTTACAGTTTTGACTTAAATTGGCTTAGAAATCTATGGCAAGAATTGAAAATGGCTGTCTAGCAATGATCAACAACCAACTGGACACAGCTTGAAGAATTGTAAAAAGAATAATGAGCAAATATTGTACAATCCAGGTGTGCAAAGCTCTTAGAGACGTACCTGCCAAAGGTGATTCTACCATTTATTGACTCAGGGGGTTGAATACTTATCTAATCAAGATATACAGTTGAAGTCTGAAGTTTACATACACCTTAGCCAAATACATTTAAACTCAGTCTTTCACAATTCCTGACATTTAATCCTAGTAAAAATTCCCTGTCTTAGGTCAGTTAGGATCACCACTTTATTTTAAGAATGTGAAATGTCAGAATAATAATAGAGAGAATGATTTATTTCAGCTTTTATTTATTTCATCACATTCCCAGTGTGAAGGACTGAAATCCTGCAGCGCCCGCAAGGTCCCCCTGCTCAAGAAAGCACATATACAGGGCCGTCTGAAGTTTGCCAATGAACATCTGAATGATTCAGAGGAGAACTGGGTGAAAGTGTTGTGGTCAGATGAGACCAAAATGGAGCTCTTTGGCATCAACTCAACTCGCCGTGTTTGGAGGAGGAGGAATGCTGCCTATGACCCCAAGAACACCATCCCCACCATGAAACATGGAGGTGGAAACATTAAGCTTTGGGGGTGTTTTTCTGCTAAGGGGACAGGACAACTTCACCGCAACAAAGGGACGATGGACAGGGCCATGTACCGTCAAATCTTGGGTGAGAACCTCCTTCCCTCAGCCAGGGCATTGAAAATGGGTCGTGGATGGGTATTCCAGCATGACAATGACCCAAAACACACGGCCAAGGCAACAAAGGAGTGGCTCAAGAAGAAGCACATTAAGGTCCTGGAGTGGCCTAGCCAGTCTCCATACCTTAATCCCATAGAAAATCTGTAGAGGGAGCTGAAGGTTCGAGTTGCCAAACGTCAGCCTCGAAACCTTAATGACTTGGAGAAGATCTGCGAAGAGGAGTGGAGAAAATCCCTCCTGAGATGTGTGCAAACCTGGTGGCCAACTACAAGAAACGTCTGACCTCTGTGATTGCCAACAAGGGTTTTGCCACCAAGTACTATGTCATGTTTTGCAGAGGGGTCAAATACTTATTTCCCTCATTAAAATGCAAATCAATTTATAACATTTTTGACATGCGTTTTTCTGGATTTTTTTGTTGTTATTCTGTCTCTCACTGTTCAAATAAACCTACCATTAAAATTATAGACTGATCATGTCTTTGTCAGTGGGCAAACGTACAAAATCAGCAGGGGATCAAATACTTTTTTCCCTCACTGTATCCGCACATACAGTTGAAGTCGGAAGTTTACATACACCTTAGCCAAATACATTTAAACTCAGTCTTTCACAATTCCTGACATTTAATCCTAGTAAAAATTCCCTGTCTTAGGTCAGTTAGGATCACCACTTTATTTTAAGAATGTGAAATGTCAGAATAATAATAGAGAGAATTATTTATTTCAGCTTTTATTTATTTCATCACATTCCCAGTGGGTCAGAAGTTTACATACACTCAATTAGTATTTGGTAGCATTGCCTTTAAATTGTTTAACTTGGGTCAAACGTTTTGGGTAGCCTTCCACAAGCTTCCCACAATAAGTTGGGTGAATTTTGTCCCATTCCTCCTGACAGAGCTGGTGTAACTGAGTCAGGTTTGTAGGCCTCCTTGCATGCACACACTTTTTCAGTTCTGCCCTCAAATGTTCTATAGGATTGAGGTCAGGGCTTTGTGATGGCCACTCCAATACCTTGACTTTGATGTCCTTAAGCCATTTTGCCACAACTTTGGAAGTATGCTTGGGGTCATTGTCCATTTGGAAGACCCATTTGCGACCAAGCTTTAACTTCCTGACTGATGTCTTGAGATGTTGCTTCAATATATCCACATAATTTTCCTTCCTCATGATGACATGTATTTTGTGAAGTGCACCAGTCCCTCCTGCAGCAAAGCACCCCCACAGCATGATGCTGCCACCCCCGTGCTTCACGGTTGGGATGGTGTTCTTCGGCTTGCAAGCAACCCCCTTTTTCCTCCAAACATAACGATGGTCATTATGGCCAAACAGTTATATTTTGGTTTCATCAGACCAGAGGACATTTCTCCAAAAAGTACGATCTTTGTCCCCATGTGCAGTTGCAAACCGTAGTGTGGCTTTTTTATGGCGGTTTTGGAGAACTGGCTTCTTCCTTGCTGAGCGACCTTTCAGGTTATGTCGATATAGGACTTGTTTTACTGTGGATATAGATACTTTTGTACCTGTTTCCTCCAGCATCTTCACAAGGTCCTTTGCTGTTGTTCTGGAATTGATTTGCACTTTTCGTACCAAAGTACATTAATGTCTAGGAGACAGAACGCGTCTCCTTCCTGAGCGGTATGACGGCTGCGTGGTCCCATGGTGTTTATACTTGCATACTATTGTTTGTACAGATGAACGTGGTACCTTCAGGCTTTTGGAAATTGCTCCCAAGGATGAACCAGACTTGTGGAGGTCTACAACTTTTTTTCTGAGATCTTTGCTGATTTCCTTTGATTTTTCCATGATGTCAAGAAAAGAGGCACTGAGTTTGAAGGTAGGCCTTGAAATACATCCACAGTTACACCTCCAATTGACTCAAATGATGTCAATTAGCCTATCAGAAGCTTCTAAAGCCATGACATCATTTTCTGAAATTTTCCAAGCTGTTTAAAGGCACAGTCAACTTAGTGTATGTAAACTTCTGAACCACTGGAATTGTGATACAGTGAATTATAAGTGAAATAATCTGTCTGTAAACAATTGTTGGAAAAATTACTTGTGTCATGCACAAAGTAGATCTCCTAACCGACTTGCCGAAACTATAGTTTGTTAACAAGAAATTTGTGGAGTGGTTGAAAAACTAGTTTGACTCCAACTTCAACTGTATGAGTGTTTTTGTTTTTCATTATTTATTTTTACAAATGTTTAAAAAAATTCTTCCACTTCTACATTAGAGTATTTTGAGTAGATCTTTGACAAGAAATTACAATTAAATCCATTTTAATCCCACTTTGCAACACAACAAAAAAGTGCACAGTGATCTTGCTACTCCTTTCCAATAAATATTGAGGGTCTTATTCTGGTGATATGATGATCAATGCTTGACTGCCGTTTGACAAATCAAAATATTATCGCTCTTATCCATAATAATCTCATCATGTAGACTAGCCTACCCGCACAGCCTACCACTCTGTATCTGGGAGCTGTTGGCTAGAGCGTACGTGCCAAGACCAGAGTAGGCACATATGCTATTTAACGCAACAGTTTGTGACAAAACTATCGGTACAGTTGAAAATGCGATGGAAGCACATTGAACTTTAGATTTTTATTCTGTACTTGAAAACTTAAAGTTGCAATATGTAACTTTTTGGGCGACCCGACCAAATTCACATAGAAATGTGAGTGATAGATATGTCATTCTCATTGAAAGCAAGTCTAAGAAGCAGTAGATCTGTTCTATGTGCGCTGTTTAGTTTTTGCGTCTTTTACTTTCGGTTTTGTACACCAGTTTCAAACAACTGAAAATGCAATATTTTTGTTTATGGAAAATATATTTCACAGTGTTTTCGATAGTACAATGATTCTCTTCACTATACTTGCTTGTTTTGTCACATAAACTGAAATTAGGCTAACTATTCGAATTTTAGCAACTAGGGAATGGTGGAGCGATTTCTGCATAGTGCACCTTTAAGCGAAAAAGTACATTTTGTATGCACTATGTCATCGCACACTGACTTTTATCCGCAACAAGTCCATTTGGTGGAAACACTTGTGGGAAAATGCCTACTATTTTCTTTATGCAGATTTTAGAACATTCACTTGAAAATCTGTAGCCAATTGAATGGAAACCTAGCTGTTGTAGTTAATTACCACGTTTCTGCTCTAAACTATGTAGAGTATTGGCATGTTGGAAACTACAACTCCCTACTACATCACACAGTTCGGGCTTTATCTGATTTATCTCTAGAGAAACTGTGCAATGTGCGCATTGAGCTCACAGAAGAAAAAAAACCCAGAACGAAATGGAATTCAAATAATTTAACCGATGTTGATCAATTAGTTGTTTAAAAAACAAAAAATACAAACATTTTGGTTAATCACTCAGCATTATTCGACGCCAAACCCACTACTGGTGTGTGTGACCAAAGAGCTTTATTTTCATGTCATCTGACCTTAGCACCAGTTACAATCCAAGTGCCAATGCTATTTAGCAAACTTCAGGTGTTTACATTTGTTGGATTCAATGAAAATAGAGCTCTTTGGCCAAGCACACCAGTAGTGGTGGGTTTGGCATCGAAAGAAGGATGCAAAGTACCTCATACCTACTGTAAAATATGGTGGTGGATCTTTGATGTTATGGGACTATTTTGCTTCCACTGGTCCTGGGGCCGTTGTTAAGGTCAACGGCATCATTACATTACCAGGACATTTTAGCCAAAAACCTGATTGCCTCTGCCAGAAGGCTGAAACTTGGCCACAAGTGGATCTTCCAGCATGACAGTAACCCCATCAAAATCCACAAAGAAATTGTTAATTGACCCATTGAAAACCTGAGGAGGAATGGTCTAAGATCCCTCACAATCTCATAAAACAGATTTGAAAAAGGCACAGTGCCATTATCCTCACAGGGTAGGGTCCTACAGTATTGAAAACATGGGTGTCAATACTGTCATTTCGACCCCTATCTTTTTGAGAGAAAAATATATTACTTGTTAAACAGAATATTTTTCTCTGAGCAATTGTATTATTTATTTGATACAGTCTCTTTTGCACATCTTTATCAAGGTTGCCAATATAGTGCACATATACTAGAATAGGGTGCCATTTGGGACAAGGAGGAAGGAGGAAACCTGGGAGCTATTATTATCCATCCCACTTCCCCCAGGAAATATTGAACATCAAAGCATTCTGGAGCACTTCTCTCCCTCCCTCCCTCTCTCCCTCTATCCCTCCCTCCCACCTACATACCCACCCACTCTCCCTCCCTCCTCTCTCACTCTCTTTCACTCTCTCTCTATTCGCTCTCTCTCCCTCCATCCCTCTCTCCCCTCCCTCCCCCTCTCCCTCCCTCCCTGCCCCCCTCCCTTCCTCTCATCTGTATGTTTACGTGAGTTTTCTTATAGGGTCAAGCTCATTAATGGCTTCCCATGAGACGGCTGATTCCCCTGCCTGTGTGTGGGCCCTTAGCTCTGTGTTAAATGTCCATAGTAGCACTTAGTGATGTGTCCGCTTGTACAGAACCTCATCACACAGTATCTTAGGCTACATCCCAAATGGCATCCTATTCCCTATCCTATATAGTGCACTTATGCCATTTAGGACGCAGACAGTATCTTACATACAGAGATCCCCTTTACAGTGTCTGGCATAAGAAATAGCAATGAAATCATTTCCAGACATGTCTTCTCAAAATGACTGTTCTTAGCCCTCCTATTTTCTAATAAAACAATATCCAGCTGGGGAAATGATTGTCCTGTGTTTAACATGCATGCCAGGAACTGTAGACTTAGCAACCCCATCAATGCACTGGAACTGATGAAAACTGTCCAAATGTCATGTTTCAGGAGCTGCTGACCTGCTGTGAGGAGGGGAAGGGGGAGATTAAGGACGGCCTGGAGGTTATGCTTAGTGTCCCCAAGAGGGCCAACGATGCTATGCATGTCGCCATGCTGGAAGGTACAGTAGGAGGGAGGCCTGTGTGCTGTATTCTATTTAAAACATCTCTAATTAGCTAGGGTGTTCCATCACTTCATGTGGAAGTAAACTAACTAACCTTATCTATCCCTTTAAGGGACAGTTGTGAAATGTACAGTAAAACCTACACTGCATGGAATAATACTATCTAGTAGGCAAGTATAGAGCTGTAAGGTTGTTGTCTCTCTGTCAGGGTTGGAGGCAATTGTAATTGAAGTCCGCCAATTCCAATTGCTGACATTTCAAATTTAATAATTGCAAAAATGTTTATATTTTCAACGATTTCTCAATAAATTAGAAAAAAAAAAGTTATTTATTTCCAAAGTTCTTAAATGTTTTACATTTAATTTTAATGACTGGCCCTAACTCTGCAGTCGGTAGTGCATTGCTGTATTTAAAGAGCCATGTGATCTCCGGTAGGTTTCGATGAGAATCTGGACGTGCAGGGAGAGCTGTTCATCCAGGACACGTTCCAGGTGTGGGATCCCAAGTCTCTGATCCGGAAGGGCCGGGACCGCCATCTCTTCCTGTTCGAGATCTCCCTGGTGTTCAGCAAGGAGATCAAGGACTCGGCCGGACGCACCAAATACGCCTTCAAGAACAAACTGCTGGTAGGACTGGCCCCTTTTTCTCCTCTCCCCTCCTCTCCTACCTGCTCTACAGTTAAAGTTCAAGTCAGAGGTCCATTTGAAAGGAATGAAGCTGCACTTGACTTCACTTGAGATCTGTGGAATGAGACAGGTCACATATAGTAGTGTGGAGTTCCAGCTTTTCAAGGGAATTTTCTCAAGATAGTGCTGGTGTTGTCATATAATGTGTAATCCAGCTGGCCAAGCTGTGAACCTAATAATACTATAAAGATGTGATGCCTTGCATGTGTCCTGGGGACTCCTGGTGAGTTGGATCAGAAGGGCAGGTGCTTTTAGCCAGTGGAGATGTTTGCTCCACAACCAATTCCCATTGATCTGCATCCCCCCTTAGCTTGCTGGATGAGATGTAAAGCCCCCATCTGTCAAGCGTCAATGTGCAGCGGTAGGACGGAGTCAGGCGCAGGACACAGAACTGAGTAAACAACGTACTTTACTCGAAAAATAAACAAGACTAATTTCCACGCAGGGAAAACACACCAGCTCACATAAGTCTTGGACACAAAACAAAGAATAAACACGCACAAAACCATGTGGGAACCAGAGGGTTAAATAGGGAAATAATATAATGTAATGGGAACCAGGTTTGTACAATCAAGACAAAACAAATGAAAAAAGAAATGTAGATCGGTGGCAGCTAGAAAGCCGGTGACGACGACCGCCGAACGCCGCCCGAACAAGGAGAGGCACCAACTTCGGTAGATGACGCAGATGCTAAGCTACAGGACTGTTTTGCTAGCACAGACTGGAACATGTCCCGGGATTCTTCAGATAGCATTGAGGAGTACACCACATCAGTCACTGGCTTCATCAATAAGTGCATCGATGACGTCGTCCCCACAGTGACTGTACGTACATACCCCAACCAGAAGCCATGGATTACAGGCAACATCCGCACTGAGCTAAAGGGTAGAGCTGCCGCTTTCTTGGAGCGGGACTCTAACCCGGACACTTATAAGAAATCCCGCTATGCCCTCCGACGAACCATCAAACAGGCAAAGAGTCAATACAGGACTAAGATTGAATCGTACTACACCGGCTCTGACGCTCGTCGGATGTGGCAGGGCTTGAAAACTATTACAGACTACAAAGGGAAGCACAGCCACGAGCTGCCCAGTGACACAAAACTTCCAGACGAGCTAAACCACTTCTATGCTCGCTTTGAGGCAAGCAACACTGAAGCATGCATGAGAGCACCAACTGTTCCAGATGACTATGTGATCACGCTCTCCGTAGCCAATGTGAGTAAGACTTTTAAGCAGGTCAACATTCACAAGGCCGCAGGACCAGACAGATTACCAGGACGTGTACTCCGAGCATGTGCTGACCAACTGGCAAGTGTCTTCACTGACATTTTCAACATGTCCCTGACTGAGTCTGTAATACCAACATGTTTCAAGCAGACCACCATAGTCCCCGTGCCCAAGGACACTAAGATAACCTGCCTAAATGACTACCGACCTGTAGCACTGATGTCTGTAGCCATGAAGTGCTTTGAAAGGCTGGTCATGGCTCACGTCAACACCATTATCCCAGAAACCCTAGACCCACTCCAATTTGCATACCGCCCCAACAGATCCACAGATGATGCAATCTCTATTGCACTCCACACTGCCCTTTCCCACCTGGACAAGAGGAACACCTACGTGAGAATGCTATTCATTGACTACAGCTCAGCATTCAACACCATAGTGCCCTCAAAGCTCATCACTAAGCTAAGGATCCTGGGACTAAACACCTCCCTCTGCAACTGGATGCTGGACTTCCTGACGGGCCGCCCCCAGGTGGTAAGGGTAGGTAACAACACATCTGCCACACTGATCCTCAACACAGGGGCCCCTCAGGGGTGCGTGCTCAGTCCCCTCCTGTACTCCCTGTTCACCCATGACTGCATGGCCAGGCACGACTCCAACACCATCATTAAGTTTGCCGACGACACAACAGTGGTAGGCCTGATCACCGACAACGATGAGACAGCCTATAGGGAGGAGGTCAGAGACCTGGCAGTGTGGTGCCAGGATAACAACCTCTCCCTCAACGTGACCAAGACAAAGGAGATGATTGTGGACTACAGGAAAAAAAAGAGGACTGAGCACACCCCCATTCTCTTCGACGGGGCTGTAGTGGAACAGGTTGAGAGCACTACAGGCGGAAGTCGTGACACCATCGTGTGCGCGTGTGTGTCCGTGCGTGCGTGCGTTGGACGGGTGCGCAGAGTATTTGTGCAATTGTGAGCTATGATTCGTACAATGCTCATATTTAGATATTCTTGCCTTCTTATTTCAATACAGTCACTCTCAACTGAGTGTCTGCTAAATGACTAAAATGTAGCAGAACTGGACTACGGTACACGTGTGTGTGGGTAGGTGTTAATTGCCAACTTGTATAATAGGCTACAGTATTTCAGGGTATTTTAGAGGAAGCTGTGGAGGGAGAACACAAAGGGCCAGGTGCTGAATACATGAAACCCAGAGCAGATGGAGTGGTCTCAGTCCTGAATGAAAGTATGAATTATGAATGCATATGTGCATGTCCAATAGCAGCTGTTCCAGGTTGCTTCCCACATGGCACCCTATTGCCTTTATGGTGAGAGCTCTATGGGCCCTGGTCATAATTAGTGCACTATATAGGGAATAGGGTGCCATTTGGGATGCACAACCAGCCAGGACACAAGGACTACAGTCCACAGGGACAAAGTAGAAAGTTGGATGGGATTTACTACGACTGTATCTTAATGTACCTCTTAAATGCCATCTCCTTATCATAAAGGGAACATTGCTATTGTGGGGTTTTAATTGATATTCAATGGTATACTGAAAACATGATTTGGGATGTTCCAAGTCATAAAAGGCTGGTAAAAACAGTGTTCAAGACTTCACATCTTGTTGTCCTCCATCTCCAGACATCAGAACTGGGCGTGACAGAGCACATTGAAGGGGACCCCTGTAAGTTTGCCCTGTGGGCTGGAAGGACCCCCTCATCTGACAACAAGACTGTCCTCAAGGTAGGTCCACAAAGGCATCTACTGATCTCTAAAGATAGTTTTGGGCAGTTTTCCCCTTTAGATCATAATGAATATGATTACACAGACAGGTGGGACCTGATCCTAGATCAGCACTCCTACTCTGAGACGCTTTGTGAATACGGGCCATGGTCTCTTAAAGCTGCCTTCTACTGATCTTCAAGATTTTTCAGGACAGGGTGAAAGGTAGCTTTGGGTAATTTATCACAATACAATACTCACACTAATTGAGGGCCATTAAAGGCGACATATAAAATAGTCTGCCTAAAGACTAGGCCTGTAAGGGCCATGCCTTGCAGAAAGCATAATTTACAGAGCAACAGCTTCAGGGTTACATTGCAGTTTTTCTCTTTTATACGCCAACACCTTCTCATGAACTTCAAGTGACAGAGGCCAGAGGATACAAAAAGGTCAATCAATGTGATGTGGTGTGTCCCACTCTCCTCCCCAGGCGTCCAGTATTGAAGCAAAGCAGGAGTGGATCAAGAACATCCGGGAGGTGATCCAGGAGAGGATCATCCACCTCAAGGGGGCGCTGAAGGAGCCCATCCACATGCCCAAAACGCCGGCCAAGCCACGCAACAACAGCAAGAGGTGAGCAGGCCCATCACTCAGCCATCCAGGCACCCACATAAGCAACACTAATCAAATCTCTTTTCATCATATTTGATAGATCAGTATGGCTTATTCTATTTGATTTGGTAGGTCTTTTAAATTAGAATGGCTAAAGATAAGATACATCCCCTTCAAAAAACAAACATCAAGACAGACAGAGATAAGACACATCCTTTCTAACTCTGTGTGTGTGTGTGTGTCTCCAGGGATGCCGGTGAGGATGCAGACAGCCAGGGTGACGGCAGCAGCCAGCCAGACACCATCTCCATCGCCTCCAGGACCTCCCAGAACACTGTGGACAGTGATAAGGTAGGAGGACATCAGGAACATCTCTTCTATTCCCAATAGGCCTACACAAGATATTGCAGTCACACATATTTCACAATTGTGGGATGTACAGTGAGGGAAAAAAGTATTTGATCCCCTGCTGATTTTGTATGTTTGCCCACTGACAAATAAATTATCAGTCTATAATTTTAATGGTAGGTTTATTTGAACAGTGAGAGACAGAATAACAACAAAAAAATCCAGAAAAACGCATGTCAAAAATGTTATAAATTTATTTGCATTTTAATGAGGGAAAGAAGTATTTGACCCCCTCTCAATCAGAAAGATTTCTGGCTCCCAGGTGTCTTTTATACAGGTAACGAGCTGAGATTAGGAGCACACTCTTAAAGGGACTGCTCCTAATCTCAGTTTGTTACCTGTATAAAAGACACCTGTCCACAGAAGCAATCAATCAATCAGATTCCAAACTCTCCACCATGGCCAAGACCAAAGAGCTCTCCAAGGATGTCAGGGACAAGATTGTAGACCTACACAAGGCTGGAATGGGCTTCAAGACCATCGCCTAGCAGCTTGGTGAGAAGGTGACAACAGTGGAAGAAACACAAAATAACTGTCAATCTCCCTCGGCCTGGGGCTCCATGCAAGATCTCACCTCGTGGAGTTGCAATGATCATGAGAACGGTGAGGAATCAGCCCAGAACTACACGGGAGGATCTTGTCAATGATCTCAAAGCAGCTGGGACCATAGTCACCAAGAAAACAATTGGTAACACACTACGCCGTGAAGGACTGAAATCCTGCAGCGCCCGCAAGGTCCCCCTGCTCAAGAAAGCACATATACAGGCCCGTCTGAAGTATGCCAATGAACATCTGAATGATTCAGAGGAGAACTGGGTGAAAGTGTTGTGGTCAGATGAGACCAAAATGGAGCTCTTTGGCATCAACTCAACTCGCCGTGTTTGGAGGAGGAGGAATGCTGCCTATGACCCCAAGAACACCATCCCCACCGTCAAACATGGAGGTGGAAACATTATGCTTTGGGGGTGTTTTTCTACTAAGGGGACAGGACAACTTCACCGCATCAAAGGGATGATGGACGGGGCCATGTACCGTCAAATCTTGGGTGAGAACCTCCTTCCCTCAGCCAGGGCATTGAAAATGGGTCGTGGATGGGTATTCCAGCATGACAATGACCCAAAACACATGGCCAAGGCAACAAAGGAGTGGCTCAAGAAGAAGCACATTAAGGTCCCGGAGTGGCCTAGCCAGTCTCCAGACCTTAATCCCATAGAACATCTGTGGAGGGAGCTGAAGGTTCGAGTTGCCAAACGTCAGCCTTGAAACCTTAATGACTTGGAGAAGATCTGCAAAGAGGAGTGGGACAAAATCCCTCCTGAGATGTGTGCAAACCTGGTGGCCAACTACAAGAAACGTCTGACCTCTGTGATTGCCAACAAGGGTTTTGCCACCAAGTACTAAGTCATGTTTTGCAGAGGGGTCAAATACTTATTTCCCTCATTAAAATGCAAATAAATTTATAACATTTTTGACATGCGTTTTTTTCTGGATTTTTGTTGTTGTTATTCTGTCTCTCACTGTTCAAATAAACCTACCATTAAAATTATAGACTGATCATTTCTTTGTCAGTGGGCAAACGTACAAAATCAGCAGGGGATCAAATACTTTTTTCCCTCACTGTATATTGTGTATTGCAACAAAAACAAAAGTTACAATGATATCGGTCACCTACAGTGCCTTCAGAAAGTATTCACACCCCTTGACTTTTTCCACATTTTGTTGTGTTACAGCTTGAATTTAAAATGGATTCAATTTAGCTTTTTTTGTCACTGGACTACACACAATACCCCATAATGTCAAAGTTGAATTATGTTTTTAGAAATTTGTACCAATTAATTCAAAATGAAAAGCTGAAATGTATTGAGTCCATAAGTATTCAACCCCTTTGTTATGGCAAGCCTAAATAAGTTCAGGAGTAAAAATGTGCTTAACAAGTCACATAATAAGTTGCAATAATAGTGTTTAATAATATGATTTTTGAATAACTACCTCATCTCTGTACCTCACACATACAATTATCTTTAAGGTCCTTCAATCGAGCAGTGACTTTCAAACACAGATTCAAACAAAAATACCAGGGAGGTTTTCCAATGTCTCACAAAGAAGGGCAGCTATTGGTAGATGGGTAAAAAAAAAGAAGAAGCAGATATTGAATATCCCTTTGAGCATGGTGAAGTTATTAATTACACTTCGGATGGTGTATCAATACACCCAGTACAACAAAGATACAGGCGTCCTTCCTAACTCAGTTGCCGGAGAGGCCAATGGTGACTTTAAAACAGTTACAGAGTTTAATGGCTGTGATAGGAGAAGACTGAGGATGGATCAACAACATTGTAGTCACTCCACAATACTAACCTAATTGACAGAATGAAAAGAAGGAAGCCTGTACAGAATACAAATATTCCAATACATCCATCCAGTTTGCAATAAGGCACTAAAGTAATACTGCAAAAAATTAACTTTTTGTCCTGAATACAAAGTGTTATGTTTGGGGCATATCCAATACAACACATTACTGAGTACCACTCTCCATATGTTCAAGCATAGTGGTGGCTGCATCATGTTATGGGTATGCTTGTAATTGTTAAGAACTGGGGAGCTTTTCAGGATAAACAATAAACGGAATGGAGCTAAGCACAGGCAAAATCCTAGAGGAAAACCTGCTTCAGTCTGCTTTCCACCAGACACTTGGAGATTAATTCACCTTTCAGCAAGACAACAACCTTAAACACAAGGCCAAATCTACACTGAAGTTGCTTACCAAGAAGACAGTGAATTTTCCTGAGTGGCGAGTTACAGTTTTGACTTAAATCTGCTTAAAAATCTATTTCAAGACTTGAAAATGGATGTCTAGCAATGATCAACAATCAATTTGACAGATTGAAATATTTTGAAAAGAATAATGGGCAAATGTTGCTTTTAGAGACTTACACAGAAAGACTCACAGCTGTAATCGCTGCCAAAGGTGCTTCTACAAAGTATTGACTCAGGGGTGTGAATACTTATGTAAATGAGATATTTCTGTATTTCATTTTCAATACATTTGCAAAAATGTATAAAAACATGTTTTCACTTTGTCATTATGGGGTATTGTTTGAATACATTTTGAATTCAGGCTGTAACACAACAAAATGTGGAATAAGTCAAGGGGTATGAGTACTTTCTGAAGACACTGTACAATGCAGACATTGCATTACATCAACCAATGGTGGCGTGCCACATCTTCGAATGCACAGTCGGGAATACAATTGCTAAATCATATGATGCGGTTAGCTGATATGTTAAACACTTATCGTAGCATTATGACATCTGGCAGGCATTTGCAATGTGGTCAGTCTGGAACTTCGCCAATTGACTCCTCCCTAGCTCTGCCCCCTGTAGGTCACATGATGGACAGTTGATTGACAAACTGGGTTTCCCTGGCCTCTCTTATGTTCCCAGCAGGGTCTGTGACCTGGCATTAGAAATTAGGCTGCCCATGTATATGCTAGTAGGTTAGACAACAATCATGTGAAACTATGAAAAGTGTGTTAAGGTTTTGTGCGGGCATGTGCCCTCACTCAACATACACTACCAGTCAAAAGTTTGGACACACCTATTCATTCAAGTTTTTTTATTTTATTTTTAAATGTTTTACATTGTAGAATAATAGTGAAGACATCAAAACTATGAAATAACACATATGGAATCATGTTGTAACCAAAGAAGTGTTAAACGAATAAAAATATATTTCATATTTGAGATTCTTCAAATAGCCACCCTTTGCCTTGATGACAGCTTTGCACAGTCTTTGGTAGAAGACAAAAAGGCTTTTTGACTAGCAGCTGCCACTAGTATAGGCTGTGTTGATCAAAGCCTTGAGTAATGAACCTATTTTTGACACAATTGACTGGAAAACCTCAATGCCTCAGGAAGCTTATTTTCCCCATCACTACCAACTGTTACACAGAGAAGATTGAACGACTACTTTTTAAGTAAACTGCCGTTTTCACAATCATGCTAGCTAGCAGTATCCACAGCAGCCATTTTATAATGGTCGCATTGAACAACAAATGAGCTGATTGGCTGACACTGCCATTCCAAAAAATGGCTGCTGTGACATGGCATAGTTGGGCTGGTGATGAATGGGCGTGATGTGAGGAAAGTTTATGGAACAGCCTTGTGTGCGTGTTTGTTAGTTTGTGTGTGTCTTGTCTGGGCTTCTTCTCCTCTGTCTGGGCTTCTTCTCCTCGTGTGTTTTTCCATGAACTCTTGCCTTGTTTTTATCTCTGGAACAACACAGTTTCTACTCTCCTCTGTTGTTTGCAGCTCTCCCTGACAGTTAGGACTGCTTTCTCTCTCTTGGAGGATGTCTCAACTAAAGACCAATATTATTTCATTCAGTCTTGAGGTGGGAGTGTTGTCTTTTGCTCTTGTTGGTAGGCTTTCTTCTTGGAAGGCTCAGTGCTGGAGCTCCCTTATAGTTTATTGCAAGTTCGATAAGCTATATTTCGATGTTGCGTATGCTGTTATGAATAGGCAGGGGAAGGCTGGATAGAGTTTCCTAACTTTTCAAAAAAGTACAAATCACAGTTCATAACACCAAACCTGAACTAATTTGAGCTGCTAAGTATCACTGACTGACTGTCATGAGTTTTTTTCTCTCCAGCCGAGCCATGTCAAGTCTTCCACAGACTGGTTTTGAGGTGCCTTCATCTAATCCAAGCTGAAAGTTTGCCACTCTGTACAGACGCATGCAGACTCCCGTCTCGCACCCACTGCTATGGCTCAGTGGCTGTGGCTGCTACTGAGGGAGGATTTGTTTTCTCCCTGCATGGAACTGGAAGAGCTAGGTTGCGATCCAAATGGCACCCTATTCCCTATAGTGCACTACTTTTAGACAGAGCCCTATGGGATTCCCTATGGGCCCTGGTCAAAAGTAGTGCAGTATCTAGAAATAG